TGGCCATAGAAAGATTTGATTGACTTTTTTTTTGTCATTTAATTGTATGAGAGAGAGTGATGAGGACAAGACACTAGAGCAGTTAAAAATCGCTGCAAATGCGCTGGTAGAGGAATCTGAGGTCATGTCTGCAGGAAACGCTACGGGAACCTTCTTTGGTCCTATTGTTTTATCTGTCATTTAATTTTTACTCAGGCAAACTTTAAATTTACCGTTCAACTATTAGGGTAGTTTGATTTAAACACTCAAAATATTTTTTTATCAATTGTATTATCAAAAAAATAAATAAAATTATTTGTCAGTTAAATCATTCCGTTAAATAGTTAATAAAATTGTTAATTATCAATACAATCTCTATCGGAAGATGAAATTAAAAGTAAGAGTTTTCTTTTCTAGTGCAGTGTGAGAGAATGATATACCAACAATTAGTATTAAAACTAATGTTTGAGAGATTTAAAATTTAAAATTTTCATGCATGTTACGTGAATTTCATTATTTATCTTGTTAAAAAGCTGGAACGAAATTTATTTTGAATTTCCTCGTCTGACTGGGATCACATGAGAAACACACGGACACTTAAGGATTAGAATCCAATTGAAAATTAATTTCTTTTTAATGTTACAATTGGTACTAAAAATGTTTTGGATCCACAGCGGAGACTACTCCAATAATTGGAAGGCAAATTTTAGGTTTGCACTTTCACTTATATCATTGTAGCCGACAGCCACTGCTACAGGTATGGATAATCAGTAGCATGGCAGTGTCTGCTAGTTACAAGTACGGCATGATCTACTTGACCTTTCCAGATTATTATGATTTGGGAATTTTTTTTTTTTTTTGGGCCATTTCGATGTGGGACTTTACTTTCTTGGGTTTGTGGAATTGGGTTGGTTCGGCTGAATATTGCCTTCTCTTTGGACTGCTGTTAAAATTATGGGCTGTTATTTGTTTTGTAGCCCACTTAGATCTTCACGGCCTAACTGTTTAGGCCTTCACATTGGACGATGCACGGACACGGGATGGTGGATCGATTAGGATCGAAGACATCAGACTTAAATTTTTAGCAGCAACTGACGGTCTTTTGTTGCCTCGTTTCAGCTGTCACACCAGTGCTAACCCGCGCGCGTATGCAGATAACATCTCATTGCCTTCGAGCAGCAAAACGACATATCATTTTCCGAATCTGTCCTTAGCCAGAAGATAGCACAGCTCCAGCCTCTGCATTTTGCCAGGAAAAATCTTTTCGCTAAATTCATAATTTATCCCCATCTCTGTGTCATGCCAACTGTTGATTTAGCCTTTGTGTTATTAATTGAGTCAATTGAACCATATATTATACGATTGCAGTCTAATGAGATCAATGAAGCCGTTGAAGGTTGGGGACTGATATCTTGTCACGCTTTCCAATCCCTCCATGTTTGTTGGTTTGATAAAACAATCTCCGCAACTCATTTTCGGAAGCATTTTTGATACAGATATGATCTATGTAGACTATATACCTAAACTAATCAAGTGGTGCCTTTTAGGCTTGACCGAAAAAAATAAAAAATAACTAATTGCTGTTTTTGGTCCAACCGTCAAATTGTGTATTTAGTGATTCTCTAGTGTTGTGGTTGGCTTTTGTGTTAACGTGTGAAAAAACTAGGAACAAAAGTATTTTTTTAAAAAAGCCACGAGTTTTTGACAAGTGTTTGATTACATGTAAGGTGGAATAAGAAATTATTCAAAAAATACTAGTAGGTAGCATGAAAGTAAATGTACTATCATTCCTTAAAAATCAACATTTTTTGTTCAACGACAAAAACTAGCTCCAAAACATGGATTATAGCAATTTAAGATTTATATTATCAATTTAAACTATTTGGACATCAAAACTATTATTTTTTTGATAACTGTTTTCATTTTTTTGTCATCTCTAATGATTAAAATGTTAACTAAAATATGATTCAATAGTAAAATTTACTCTCGCATTATTAAAATTGCAACAAATATGACATATATTATCAATTTGAACTATTTAGATCATAGACTATTATTTTTTAGACAAATTTTATTATTTTTCACTATTTATGTTAGTCAAAGAATTGACCGTCCTATTTTTTTAATTAAAATTAATTTTATTTTTAAAAAATAATAGTTAGCTTGAAGGAAGCTTAAATGATTTTATTGTTTATGGATTTAACTAATGGGTTCGTCTACTAAAAAAAGTATTAATTTTGTAAATAATTAAGATTACTTTTGAAAAAGAATGTTTAATAATAATTAGCTTTAAGGTAGCTTGGATTATTTTTTTTGTTTATGAATCTTACTTTTATTATTGGATAATTGATGATGTGCAATCGATCTATCTAGTTAAATAAAGAAATAAATTATTGATTTTAATTCTATTTTTTTAAAATGCTTAAAACATATTATTTTAAAAATTTTAGTTAGCGATTAACGAGTTTGATTATAAAAAAACAAAAAAGAATACGACTTGTCAAAAAATTAATAGTATAAAATTTTAATTGCTCAAATTGATAATATATATCTTATTTTGTCACTACCTCGGTAGTTTGATGGTAAATTTTGTTATTAAATCATATTTCAGTTAATGATTAACATTTCAACTATGAAAAATAATAGAAGAACGATAATATTTATCCAAAAAATAATATTTTGATGTCTAAATAGCTTAAATTTATAGTATGTGACTTAAATTGTCATAATCTAATAGCTTGGGGGAATTTTTGCCATTAAACCCAGCATTTTCACCGCACTTTCATTTAGTACCTGCACAAAGCTTTTAATAGCCAAATAACGATGAATTGTTTAGTATTTAAGAAGTAATTATTATTTTACTTCAATAATCTACCTAAAAAATGAATCCAACACAAAGACGAAACAAATTAGTTATGTCCAATCAAATGTCGAAGACCTGGGCCTGGCACGTTCAAACGATTGTCAACATAAAGGAAAATGATGCATGTTGAGAGCATATTATAAATTAACCTCTCTAGTTTTGAAAAATATATCAATTTTTTTTAAATATAATTATTTAGTTCGTATATTTTTAATTTTTTAATTTTCAATATATTTTGATTTTTTTTTTGGTTTTAAGAAATAGAAAAAGAAAAAAAAGCATAGAATATTCAAAGGATTGAATTTTTTTTTAAATAAAAGAATATAAATCAGTCAATATTAATCAATATATTACATAATTGATTGGTTTTTCAAAACCAGAAAGACTAATTTATAATTTACTCCGCATGTCGAATCAAAACACTTGGTTCATTTTTTGTCCGTACAACAGTTAGGAGACAAAAATATTTTTAGTGGCAAGATAAAAAATTACATTCCAAGTGTTTTGAAATCTCCTGTCAAAAAAAAAAAAATCATATTTTTTAATAAATAAAATTACATAAAAAATAAAAAAATAGATACGATGATAGTTTTTATATAAGAAACGACAAATTTTAGATATTAATCTAAACAATAAGAGTAATATAATTTGATATATATATTTATTTTAAAATCTAAAAATATATCATGTATATTTTATAATCATCAGTTTGTGTGAAAAAATAAAAATTAATTTTTTATAATTTTTACACCCAACTGAATAATAATAATAATAATAAATATAAATTAGTAGAAAAAACCAAAGAAAGAAAAAAAAAAAGAAGCAAACCTGTGCGCTTGGTTTCTACAGGCCCGAGGCTTGCATCTGCGTCTAGACTTGAAGAAGCAGGCCTAATGAAAGCTGCACACTTGAGTGCGCAACAGGCCAAGATACCAAAAATTATATTTTAAATCTCTAAGGATCAAAATAAAAAATGATGTAAAATTCGAATATAAATATCTAAAAACAATTAAAAAATTATAAAAACGCCACATTTTTTCTTCAATGCGCCCTAATGACCTGTGAGGGGTGAACAGTAAAAAATCATTGTTTATTTTTCTCACTTATTTTCGCTGTTTTATTGATAAACAATGTTTTACTTACTTGCATTTTTTTAATTATTCATCAAATAGTTTTAAATAAAATATAATTAACGAGAAATGAAAGGTTCGGGATGAGAATACAGGAATCGAAATGAAAATTAAGGAATTAGAATAACATTTATATTTTCATATTGTGTTTGGAATTCTAACGAGAAATCGGAATGCAATTTAAATTTTTTAGTATCCGATTTTTTATACAAATAAAAATAATGATTAAAAAAATAATTTTATCAAACTATAATGATTATAAAAATAATAAAAATGATGTTGATAGTAGTGGTTATGGCAACGGTGGTTCTAGTGATGGTAGTGGTGGTTACAACAACGACGATTGTGATAAAAGTAGTTAATAGATCATAAATAAATAAAATATATTATTATTTTGAAAAAAATTTCATTTTCATTTCTTATTTTTATTTCTACATCTTATATAAGAATTAAGTTGTGTATAAATTTTTATTTTTATTTCTTATTTTTATTTTCACAATTTATATAGGAATGAAGTTATGTATAAATTTTTATTTTTATTCCGACTATATTTTTTTTAATTAGACAACTAAAACGTGTAAATAAAACTTCTATTTCTATTCCTATTGTTCTATTTCTAATTACTAAAAAAACACTTAAATTAAGTTAACACACATTACATATGCTTACCAAAACTAAATTATAATTTTGTCTAACTAATTCACGGGTCAGAATAGAAAGCGAGATCCACCAATGATGCAGAGCCGAAGCAACGGCGCGCAAAATCAAGATTTCAATTTTGATACGTAAAGGCGGGCATTTACCTTTTTTCAAAATGTTGAAAAAATTGGCGGGGCTGCTTAACACTTCACCAAACAAAAAAATAAATAAATAAACAGAATAATATTTTTTTCGTTTTTAAGTTTTAACCCATCCCCATTTCCCCAATTCCTTTCTTCATCTCCACAAAATCACAGAACCCAAACAATACGCTTTTCTTTTAATTCCCAAACTACCCCGTCTCCCCCAATCACTATCCAAATCTCCCCATGGATCGCCGGACAATTACCACGAGAAAAAGCTTGAAGCGAAAATTGGAGCAAGATTTCGAACACGAAAATCTAGATCGCCGCAAGATTCCAGCCACCGATAGCTATGAGAGTCACCAAAAACTAACGCGTCTTATTCAATCGCAAGTTGATATCCTCAATTGTACCTTTTCTTCTCTCGAAGCCGATCGCGCCGCCGCCAAGCGCGCCACTAGCGCCCTCTCTCAATCTGCCAAGAACGGTAACTTCTTTTTTTTTTTCGATCCTCAATTAAATAATTGTATAATTGAGTGAATTATTTTTATTTTATTTTTCCACATTTAATTTGAAACCTTTGTTTGTGTTTGCAGAGGAAATAGTGGATATTATCGTGGATTGTGGTGCGGTGCCTGCGTTGGTGATGCACCTTCAAACACCACCGCCTTTGCGAGGTGAAAATGGTCCAAAACTGTATGAACATGAAGTGGAGAAAGGAAGCGCTTTCGCTCTTGGACTTCTTGCTGTAAAAGTAAACAAATATCACCAGTTAATTTGATTTATCAAACTAATATAGTAATATTTTTACTGTTAAATCTTTGCTTATTCTCGTTTTTATTGTTTAACGCCGCATGATTATATCAAAATTTTTTGAGCTTGCTGTTTATTTTGATGCATTAATCAGGTAAGTAGTGGAAAGCATAATGGTGAAACAAATCAATTTTGCTACATATATAATATAATATAAAAATTTATTCATTGGTTTTGTGTTGCTTGCGTTACTGATTGTGGATGCTCTGCATTCTTTTGTGGATTTGGTATAGTTTTTTCACTTTTGGACAAAAAAGGCTGCAGATATGTTTTAAGTGCCGAGATTTGAAATTTGGCTTCATGTATTTTGTTTTGATTTTCCTTCATAATGCAGTTTACTTTCTTCTTTTTGTTGCTTTACATATATGCCATTGAATTCTTTCTATGATTGTAATTCTTTTGATAGTCCTTCTTTGCATTCAGTTGGGCCAACACCTCTTGTAATTAGTAATTATAGCAAATCATATTTTCTTTTATAGTTTATATCGTTAACTTTATTCTGCTTGGGCATTAATACAGATACAAACTTTCTATAAACTACATGGAAATGCTATCCTTTCTTTACTTTATTCCTGATTTTTCATTTTTTTTATCTGCTGTGTATTAGCCGGAGCATCAACAAATAATAGTAGATGCTGGAGCTTTGACCCATCTCGTGGAATTGTTGAAGAGACATAAGAGTGCTGATAACTCTCGAGCAGTCAATGGTGTTGTTAGGAGAGCAGCTGATGCAATCACTAATCTTGCTCATGAGAATAGTGGCATTAAAACACGTGTCAGGTTTGCTTATATGGATACTTTTTTTTTTTTTTTTTGTTTTTTCAGTCTAGTTTCTATTATTATTATACACATTCCATGGCATCTTTGATTATGTATTCAGGATTGAAGGTGCCATCCCCTCTCTTGTTGAATTGCTTGAGCATGCTGATATTAAGGTACAGAGAGCAGCTGCAGGTGCCTTGCGGACCCTTGCGTTTAAAAATGACGAGAACAAAAATCAGGTAGAGGGGATTCCTGCTACATTCATCCACATGGTATTCTTTTGTTACATGAGTTTCTATTGCTGACATGAAGAGCAAATTTGCAGATTGTAGAATGTAATGCTCTACCCACTCTTGTAATAATGCTTCGATCTCAGGATACTGCTATACATTATGAAGCGGTTAATTCTCCACTCAACTTTTTTAGCTGGATAATTCTCAACTTAACTTTAGCTGGATTTGCATTTTGACTGTATAGATTTTTGTACTAGCTGACTGTGCAAGAGTTTGGTGTCAGGTTGGTGTGATTGGAAATCTGGTTCACTCTTCCCCACACATAAAGAAAGCAGTTCTTCTTGCTGGAGCTTTACAACCTGTAATTGGATTGCTAAGGTATCGCTGACTTGCACATTACTGTCTATTCTTGCTCGATCACTCTTTTCAAATTATAATTTTCTGCTGCAAGTTCCTTGAAGATATTCCTCTTAATTCATATATTGTACAGTTCTTCCTGTTCAGAAAGCCAAAGAGAAGCAGCTTTGTTATTGGGTCAGTTTGCAGCTGCTGATTCAGATTGCAAGGTAGACCGAAATATCATTCCTGTTTTCAGGCCAAAAGTATTTGCTCTTATGTGTTTATCTGTGTGTTCGATACTCATTGATTTTTAGAAGTTAATTAGAACAAGGTTCATGCAGGTGCACATTGTTCAGAGAGGAGCTGTAAAGCCATTGATTGACATGCTTGAGTCCTCAGATGTGCAGCTCAAAGAAATGTCAGCGTTTGCACTCGGGAGGTTGGCACAGGTTATTGTTTCATCCTATTGTGGAGCCATGCTACATTTTGTTGTCTTTTGAGCATGCTGAATGTGGGCTTGTCGTATAGACTGCAGAAAAGGCAGCTCTGAGCATTGAAGCAGTGAATGCACTCATATTATTTTGGCAGATAGTTCTGCTCTTATTTTCTGAATAAAGGGACGTCTGCACATTTTTAACACATCCTCTTCTTCTTTTTGACTACTTGCTTCTATCTTGAAACAGGCTTTGTGCAAATCTTACTACACAAACAGGCAATTTGGTTTAGAATTTGTTCTTCAATGCATCTCTGTAGTCCCTAGGTAAAAGAAAGGAAGTCTAGAAGTAAAAATAATAACACTCTAATCAACTGTACTACAAACATTTGTCTACATGGAATGGTAACTAGTTGTGTATGATTAATATTACTATAAACCATGCAGTACGATTTGCAAGGGTTATTTACTTTTTGGGCTTTCTGAAAACTTCTTCTTTAATACCTTTTTCCCCTTAATTTCAGGAAACACACAACCAAGCTGGCATTGCCCATAATGGTGGTATCATTCCATTACTTAGGCTACTTGATTCAAAAAGCGGACCACTCCAACATAATGCTGCATTTACCCTATATGGTCTTGTGGATAATGAGGTACTATTAAGTTTGTTTCTTCATTGCTTAAAAAATAGTCTGTTACACTGTTATTCCCTACTTCCTCATCCAACACTGGAATGTACTGAACTTATTTGGATTCTTCTGCAGGATAATGTTGCAGATCTTATCAAGGTTGGGGGTTTCCAGGAACTCCAAGATGGAGAATTCATTGTACAAGTATGTCTCATCCTGTTATCTCTGATCTGCCTTGGCTAATTTTTTGTGCTAAAAAAAATTGACTAGCCTCTCACACTGATGGAGTTAGTGGATTGTTACTCTCATCCCAATCTTATGCAGTTTATTGCAGTATTATTGTCCAGCTCTTATTGTTATAATATGATGCTTTGCAGCAAACGAAGGATTGTGTTGCCAAAACAATGAAAAGGCTAGAGGAGAAGATTCGTGGACGAGTAAGTTTTCACATGTAATTGGTATTCTGGCCATCATTTTCCTGTGGTAATTTTTAAATTTGTCTTTCTTGCCAGATATGTTGACATAGAAAGTTCTGAGTACAATTTGCCATCGACAGTACACTGATTATTATGGTTTTTTGAACAGGCATTGAACCATCTCTTATATTTGATGCGGGTTGCAGAAAGGAATATTCAAAGGCGAGTTGCTTTGGCTCTTGCTCATCTTTGTGCTCCTGATGACCGAAAAGCAATTTTTCTTGATAAAAACGGTGCAACTTCTTGATCTGCCAAATTTATTGATCTTTCTCTATGTAATGGTTCTATTTATACAGGACTGAGTTTCTTATCGTTTGTTTCTAAATACGTGTCCCACAGGATTAGATTTGCTGTTGGGGCTTCTTGAGTCTGGAAACTTGAAGCAGCAATGTGATGGTTCAGTGGCCCTGTACAAGTTGGCTACCAAAGTCACTTCAGTCTCTCCTGTGGATGCAGCTCCTCTATCTCCAACCCCACAGGTGAAAGTCCTTTTCATGGTGATTTCTTTCCACATGTATAACCTTTTTGTTTGTCCTTTTTTTCCCTTCTTTTTTAAATGCTTTTAGGCAATCAGGCCATGCTGGGCACAGGTGTGCTTGAACTTTGAATTGGACGTATATTTTTTTTGATCAAATGTTAGTGTTGAAATGAACTCTGATTGTTGCTTGTTTGGTGTTTACTTTTGGATGTGACTCATTGTCTACCACATTTGTAAGGTTCGACCAGCAGGATGTACATTTTGAACAACAGATTATGCGGTCTACCTCTAATTCTTTATCATTTTATAGATTGTTGGTTCTAACTTGCAATTCCATTTCCTGATCTCTTTCCTTGTGCTGTGGTCCATGCACCTTTAGTTTTTCTTCTAATCCCATTATTTAAGGAACACAGCAAAATAATGTTTTTACTTATATTTTTCCTTAGGTGTACTTGGGTGAGCAATACGTTAACAACCCTACTTTGGCTGATGTGACATTCTTAGTTGAAGGTACTGAATTTTGCTCATTTGCATTAAGTTTATGTTTTATAAGATGTCCTTTTATGTCATGATAGATTATGGTAGTGTGTTTATGGCTTTATGCTAAAATTAATGAGTGTAATTTTGCTGTTATCAGGCAAACGGTTCTATGCTCACCGAATTTGTCTGCTTGCTTCTTCGGATGCTTTCCGTGCAATGTTTGATGGGGGTTATAGAGTAAGCACCGACTTATTCAAGAACTTTAGGTTGGCTTTTAATTGCATAATAGCTTTGTACCCCTGTCATTTTGCCTTCTCCACCTAAGCATGTTAGACTGATTAAACTGATCCGTGCAATATTTTGCACCTTTGCAATAAGTTAAAATTGCGAGCTGAAAAGAATTTTGTATTAGAAGATGGTAATAGATGTTTGATTTACTTACATAAGAACATGACAATTGCAGGAAAGGAATGCTAAAGATGTGGAGATCCCAAATATTAGATGGAATGTTTTTGAATTGATGATGAGGTCTGAGTTTTAAACTTTCCTTGGATATTATAGCAAACTTGTCTCAAAATTCTGATGGCTTGCTCGTGCACACTTCTAGGTTCATATATACAGGATCAGTGGAAGTCAATATAGATATTGCTCAGGATCTGCTTAGAGCTGCTGACCAATATCTTTTAGATGGTCTCAAGCGTCTCTGTGAATGTACCATCGCACAGGTTAACTGATAAACTATGTTAATGGTTGCTTTGAGTTAACACTATTAGCACATGAAAGGTGGTCTGACGAATTCTTATTGTCTCACATTAGGATATTACTGTGGAAAATGTCTCTCTCATGTATGAGTTGTCAGAGGGATTCAATGCTATGTCATTAAGGGACGCATGCATTCTGTTCATATTGGAGCAATTTGACAAATTATGCACCAAGCCATGGTATGCTATCTCCTCAATGAATACATCCATTCTAAAATTTATTATGAGTTTCTAGCATTTGGGACTTTGCATGGTTTTAAAATCAGACCGAGAGGTTTTTAGTTTGTTTTAATTGGATTGGGCCTGCAAATGGCAACTATTGTTAAAAGCATATTTAAGAACAAAGGCTCTTATTTCTGTTTACACTGCTTTAAAATGCATATTTTGATATTTGAAGAGGTGTCCGAGTATCCAGGTTGTGTCATAATTGGGTTTCAAAGTTTTTTTTTTTTTCCTTACTGGAATGTCATCACTTTCAAAAGGTTGATGGGCCAATTATTCTGATTTGAATTGGATTCTGAAGATTGTAAGTTCGATCTTGAAAAATATGCAGGTCATCTAGCTTGATCCAGCGCATCATGCCTGAGATACGCAATTACTTTGAGAAAGCACTTAGCAAGCCTACCAAGCTAATTTTAGATTGATTCAGCCTGGGTTTTGATCTTTCAACTAACCATTAAGATGCAAGGCAAAGAGTGTACAGAAATCTTCCAGTTGTCAAGCTTATATGGGAAATCCAGCTATGGTCTTCTTTGCATAAGCAGTCAGTGAAGGCCCATGTTAAAATGCAAATGCCAACCTTTTTGTTTTTATTTTTCTCTGATCGTTCTTTCGTCTGGAATTAATTGGTGGTGTGGGAGCTCAATCACACTGCAACACGTAGATCATATGTCAGACTAATTCGGTAGTATAGTAGGTATTGTGTATTAGGAGCTTATGGATGCGCCGATAGCAATTGTATTCTGGGCGCAAAATGTCTCCTTTTTATCGGTAGCATTCATTTGCAATTATTTTCCTTCAATTTTCAGTTCACTCCTTACGGTTGAGTGGTTGACCATTGAAATGCCAACTTATTGGTATGGTTTTTCTATCGCTTAACAAAAATGATCAATAAATTTTTGTATGTAGAATTGTTGGTCATGCATGAAACCATTGGTCCTGTAGGAAACTAAATAGTGCTAATGAAAATCATTAAAAACAAAAAAAAAACAGTTTGATATTTTTTTGCAGTTGAAAGGTAATGCGGAAAAGCCCCTTGATCAAGGCAGTAGGTGGCATGATTAAAGGAATTAATCAAAATGGTTGTGGATTATAACTCGCTAAATCCAGCTTGTTTAATCTTTCTTGAAAGAAAGGTTCGGGGCCTGCTACAGTGACCCCATGCTCATAAACACGGCCCATTCTCTGTTATAATAAAAAATCTGGACCTGTCATGTTAAAAAGAGCCCGATCCATAGATCATAATATATCATCTCAAGAAAATAAAAAATGCAAAAGATAACAAACAAACACAGCTGAAGGTTCATATTTTCACCGAGTTATTAGTAGCAAGCAGCAGAGAGGGGGGCATGGGTGTAGCGGTCCTGGGACTATGGTTACCCAATCCAGCGGTCCGGTTTAAGAAGCCATTTCATCACTTATCACCTCCAACTAGAGCAGCACTTGCAACTTCAGCTTCTCTCTCTTCTCCACCTCCCACCATTCAGGCAACAATCTCTTCTGATCTTTTAGTTTTCTATTTAAAGTTGTCCTTTCTATTTATTAATTATGAGAACTGGAGCAGATTGTTGGTGGAAAAAACACTCCAAGTTGGCAAGGAAGTGGGAATGGCAATTTGAATGATGTTTATGGCGGAGGAGAGACGGATTGGGTGGATTTTGAAACTGATCTTTATCATTGGACTAAAGTACTTCGTCCTGTTCAGGTACTCTTCTTATAATAAGGTTTCATTTTCTTTTTCTATTTTTGCTTTTATGTGTTATGGTAATTAAAAGTAGCAAGTGATTTTGGTATTAAAAAGAACAGAAAAATGAATTTTGGAAATTATGGCAGTGGTATCCAGGTCATATAGCGAAAACGGAAAGAGAACTTAAAGAACAACTCAAGTTGATGGATGTTGTCATTGAAGTTCGAGATGCCAGAATTCCCTTGTCTACTACACATCCACAGGTTAGATTACTACTTCGAAGTGAATGCTGTAATGCAAAACAAAGTTTTAAGTCTGCCTGTGTGATTTCTTCTTTGGGTTTATGATGTTTTCTTCAAATATCATGTGTTTGTTTGGTCCAATTGAAAGTAATCTTGCTAGATGGTTTATGGGTTTTGGTCCTTGTTATACATGAAGTAATATTTGTTTGTGTATTCTATACTTGTTGGAGGTTATTCAAATAATATGATTATAGACACCTTTTATGGTACTAGAATACATCATCACTGAAGATAGTTCCATTTAATGCCTATTGTTGCTTTTGATGTTTTAAGATTCTTGCCAGTGCTTCTATAAGAAAGCTGCTCTGAGACTATAGTTCTTGGCCCTAATTTTTTTTATTTTTTATTATTTATTTATTTATTTATTTTGTGTGTGTGAGGAGATGGACTTGTGGCTTGGAAATAGGAAAAGGATTTTGGTTTTGAATAGAGAAGATATGATATCCAAGGCAGACCGGAATGCTTGGGCTACTTATTTTGCAAGACAGGGAATAAAAGTTGTCTTTTCCAATGGCCAACTTGGAATGGTATGTATAAGCTAAAATTCTCTTTCGCCTTCTTGAGTCTGAATATTGGAGTATGGCAAATTTTTTTGTGAAAAAAACAGGGTACTATGAAGCTGAACAGGTTTGCAAAGTCATTAGCAGCAAGTGTAAATGTCAAACGCAGAGCCAAAGGACTTCTTCCTCGTGCGGTGGGTTTCTTAGCTCAATCAAGCCAGTATCAATCTTTTGTTTACTGCTAAGTTCATGTGCTTGTTGCATGATTTGGGCCTCTGGCCAACTTTAGTTTTAAATTTTAGTCTCATTGCTCTTTTTTCACTTGAATTAGAAAAATACTGTTAGGCCCACATCAAATATTGTATGACCATTACAGACACCATGAAATCATTTTAACTATATCAATAAAATCACGTATCGAAAAAGGAATGTGCCATTTTGGTTACTGTTTTTTATTCTTTGATTTCCAATGCAAATTTTGACAAATGTGATATAGTTGAAATGTCATAGTAAGGATTTGTTTTCATCTCAGACCTGTATTATAGTGCGGATGCTCTCTAGATGAAATAGATCATGTTTAATGTTACAAAGAGCATTGTTCGGGAGACATTGGCTCTTTTTTAATGTTGTTGTCATTTGTAGCTATCTTCTTAGTATCCATGAAACCTAATTTTCTGAAGCCAGACAAAAGAATGTCATTAATTTTGATGAGATTTATTTCACTATTGTACAGGTTCGAGCTGGAATAGTTGGGTATCCAAATGTTGGGAAGTCATCTTTGATAAACCGTTTACTGAAGCGCCGAATGTGTCCAGCAGCTCCTAGACCTGGAGTTACGAGAGCGTTAAAGTATGGATTTATTTATTTTGCTTAAATATAATGGAAGATGTTTTAGCAGAAGGTATTTGAAATGAACCATCAAAAGAATGAATTGAAACTTGGAGTTATAAACAAATTAAAGAATGCAACTATATGCTCATTTTATTTTGGTTCAAAAACGTGGAAAATGTGAAATGGAAGCAAAAGGAAACTCTAAAGGTAGCCTCTGCAAATTTAAACTTGTAAGTCCTGAATTAGATGCAATCCTCGAGGAATTTACAAATCTCTTATGTATTGAGAATTGGAAAATTAGAACCTCAATGTCCTTAGTGGTAACAGATTTAGCATTGGAAGGCTGAAAATTTTATATTATCCAACAGAAAAGAGACCTTTAAACTTAAACTTTACCTGTTCTTTTGGGTGTGATATATATATCAAAAAGAAATAATGGCTATAGTTATATGCTTGACATGATCTTGTTGCATTTCTTCCTTGCTTCTTGAAAGATGGGTTCGATTCGGGAATGACCTTGAGCTGCTAGACTCTCCTGGAATAATCCCAATGCGGATCAGTGATCAATCAGCTGCTATAAAGCTTGCTATTTGTGATGATATTGGAGAGAGATCCTATGATGTTACTGAAGTTGCTGCAATTCTTGTCCAAATCCTGACAAGGATTCCAGCAGTGGGTATGATTGCATTGTTCCCAGTTTCAACTTCTTGCTTGCTATAGACCCCTTTTTTCTTTGAAAAAAAAATAAAATGAGAAAAAGAAAGATAGAAATGATGGCCTTTAATACCAACTTCTGTTGCTTGTCAGGTGCAAAAGCTCTTAATAACCGCTACAAGATTGATGCTGATGAGTTCTGTAGTAAAATGTAAGTCTTATGCAGCCCGTCATTTTCTCTTTTGCGATATGACCTAACAGTGTCTGCATGCCTCAGAGACTAAGAGGGTCTAGAAACCTCAGTTAGGAAACCTAAGTTACTTTACCTTTTTATTGCATGCTTACTGAAAAAAAGAAGAAGAAAAAAGGTAAATAATCCTTAACCCCACAAAGCAATTGCACCTTGGATCATTAATAATATTGAAATATAAGCTGCACAATTGCTTCCGGCTCAGAGCAGATGAGACTCTACCTCATATCCCTTAAAGCAATGCAGTTTTTGATTTGCCAGTTGCCAAGGCTAGACAAATATCCCTGATTGATTTTGTTACTGTTAATTTTTTACTGCAGATTTGTCCAGAAGCTTGCAGTTCACTTGTTCAATGGGGACACCCATCAAGCAGCTTTTCGCATCTTGTCTGATTTTCGAAAAGGGAAGTTTGGTTGGGTAGCACTGGAGAGGCCTCCCAGGTGATGGTGATGGTATCTTTGTTTTGAACGTCAGCTAATACTTCCAGTCTGTGGCCAATGCCTTCAGAGTGCCAAATGGCAGCAGGAACAGAACTCGGATATTGTGGATATCTTGACTTCGAGAGAAGAGATAACTTAAGATTTACTGTAAACACCTTAGGCAGAAATCAAATAGCACAGCTCAGTATATTTGGCAGAGATAAAAACTGGAGTTGTATAGAAAAGGAATATTCCCAGCCTCGTGTTGTAATCTACTGGGCTATCTATCCTTAAAAATTGTTGTCTGCAGAGAACTTACAATGGAAACTCTTTTGCAACGTTGGGCTATGCGTCAAAATTCAAACATTGAAAATTCATGTAAAGTACACCATCATCCAAAGGCGTGCCAAGTAGCATTGCTAAACCTGGTATGTAGAAATTTGTAGTTTTTGGATTTCCAATCTAAAAGAGCCATTTGATCGAATATGACCACATGCCAGTTAATACAAATGCATCTCTGTTTACATGTCTACCCAGTTAAAAAGCGGAGAGACTGCTGCGAGACCCTTGAATGAGGTGATGCCCTAGGTGTACAGCATTCTTAGTGCTCCAGTGAGAGCCTCATTGAAATAGCCCCTTGTGACTGGGAAAAGAAGAAAAGAAGTAAGAATCCCCCTGTTACAGTTGGAGCTTCATTAATAATTTAATACTTGTGATGCTCAATCTACACTCTGCGATCGCATTTATTTTTCTGATAAAGCTTGCAAAAAAGAAATAGCTGCGCTCAAAAGTACTCCCAAACCTCGGTTTCTCTACCCATTCAACTTCATCAAGTTACATAATGATAATTCAAGAAAGATTCTGTTCATCGTGACTGTCCTACGAATTAAAATAATAATTTAGTATTCTAAACAAGCAAAAGAAGCAGCATTACAAAACAAACAAGACGTGGGATTGTTTTCTCAAAAAAGGAAAAAAAAAATACAGATATGAAATTGCACTGATGATGATTGGGCCCAATGCAACCTTACATTTGGATAGTTTGGTAACCAACCCTGCAACAAGAAAAGTTTCCATCAAGTCTGTAACAAATCAACTCAAGCAATCAATCTTTTAAATATAAAGTTGCTTAACCTGTACATGAAAACTTTTGCAGGCAAAATGCCTACAGACTCTTTGAGGAATCAAAACCATGGGAAACAAACGCCCTCAAAAATATATCATAAAACCCGACGTTGAAAATATGGGCAACTTTCACGAGGTAATGGCAAAATGAAAATGTGCAAGCAAGAATGCTGTCTCTCCAATAATCAATAAAAGCACCTACATCTAAATCCACTATCCAGAATTTCTGACTCGACTGTATTCGGGCAAACGTGAGAGTACAATGATACATTGATATGATTTGGTATCTTCATCTTGCAATCGTGGAAGCACAAGTAGTTGAATCATCTTTGCTTGACCAACTTTCTTTAATTCGACATGCTTGGATTGGCCGTTCAATCTGAAGCCCATCAGCAAATTCTTTTTCCAACTGATAACAATATTTTCCAAATGTATTCACATTAACTTGAAGTCTGAAATCTAGACTAAACAAAAACTTCATCTCCAATCTGTTTAATTCTGCTGTGCTTACTCCCCCAACTTTGGCATAGTATGCATTGTTAAAGAATCTGCAAAAGCACAAGGAACACTAGGTTTAAGAATCCTAAGCAATAAAAGATGCAAAATGGAGCCCAATTCCCATGTAATGAATATTTGTCTGATTGACTAACAGATTTACTACCAGGCTACCTTAGAAATGTTAGCATATAATCAACTTCATTCTACGCAGTACAGACATTTCATATGTTCAGTATCAGACTCAAAGTCATACTTGTCTACTTATTTTAATTCAGCAGAATCAATAAAGCCTGTTGGAATCTATTATAACATAAACAAAACAACTTCAGGGAATCCGAACTTACGCATCATCTACAAACTTTGCTGCTATCATTACACTTGTAATCAGAAGCCGGTGAACATTGAGGGAGGTTAAATGAATATCTGTTTGCTGGAGAAGTCTATCCACATAAATGTTTGCAACAACAAAGCAGGAAGGGCTGCAGGCAGAATACTTGAAGATGCGATCAACATACTGCTGAATACTTACCGTAGGTGGTCTTAAACCATGAAATATGGTAACAGCATCTTTGATCTGTGTTGTCTCCAGTAGCATTTCGTTTTTCTGAACAGACCTCTCAAGAAGTGAAGAAAGAAGCATTAAAACCCTTGGAGTTCTGAAAACTCCTTTTCTTAATTCCTTAAGCCCCAAAGTTCGGTATATATCCAAGTCTATACTTCCAGTTTCAGGTGCGGGAGTTTCCATATCTGAAACGAGCTGCATTGAATTACAACCCATAAGTTCATTAGCGTGGAAAGTACCAAATGCATCAAACTAAATAATTTTCTTTTTTCAGGATAATTTCTATTTCTTATCTCAGAGCCTAATCTATCAATTTATTTTCTAAAGAAGCCGATGAAAGGGAAGGAAAAGAAGAGAAGAGAAGGAATTGACAAGGTCTCTGTCACTGAGTCATGCAAAGCAAAGACATCAGCTCTTAAACTTTTCAGAATTTAGTAGTAGGGAAACAAATTAATCTCTTGTGTCCCATGTCTGCATTTTGCCTCGATTCTTCTCTCCACGACCAAACAAGATAAGATATTTATTGTTCATTACCATCTCTCCTTGGTACTACTTTTCGATCAGAGGCAAGCAACCTAAATTCAGGTTCAGAAATCTACATACTTCAATACTAAAACATTTTGGACTGTGAAATCAACAAACAGAATAAACATCAGTGGCATTCAAAAGCTCATTCAGTCACTTTCTATCCAATTCGCACTTATTATGTACTGCAATTGCAGGTAAAACACACAGCCAGCTGATTTGCTAACATTAAAAATAAAAAAAAAAATCCCAATTTTTACACACTAGTTTGAAGCCATAAGTAATGGCTAGATTCAAGCTAAATCAATACTTACTTCATTAACCAAGTCCAGATCTCACGGCCACCCACTTCACTTTTACATGGAATATTAACACTATTTTGGCGGTAAAGTAAAAAACTTTGAACCTAATACCTTAATTCGTTAACAGAAAGATCCATTAGAATTAGCAGATTAAACTAAGCACTGCTTGTGGAATTAAATAAACTACCAAAGAGGCCAAACTACACATATTCATCAAATTCCCAATTAATTAAACAACAAATCAAACCAAAGCTCCAGAACAGAAAGAAAAGAAACTACAAGAGAATAAATAAAATAGAAAACTTACAGATTCTTGAGGATGTGGAACTACAAAAGCGTCAGGGACGAAGCAGATACACTGAACACAGACGAGAGAAAGAGAGAGAGTACTGTAAATCTTGTTTCATGAATCTTGGTCACTCTCTCCCTTTCTCTCTGCCATCTCTCTCCTGTAACCAGAGGAAAAAAACAGAGAGACAGATCGCTTCTTTATTGAATTTGTTTAATATATTTAGTGCTCTTTGCAAGTAATTGAGGCTAGCTCTTTTCTCTCTCTTCACGTGGAAAGGAGGGAAGTAGCTCTCTCTCTCTCTCTCTCTCTCAAACTTTAAATGGAAGATAGTGTAGGTAGAATGGTTCTATCTATCTACGCTATGCTATAATATTGAATGGAAGTAAGTCGCCATTGTTAAAGTGGGTAAAGGTTCACGAAAGGAACGAAAGAAAAGCTCTTCTTGGATTCTTTTCCCTTCTTCTCTGGTTTAAGGCAGGGACCCACGGTTTTTAACTTGGTGTCTTTTACAGGCATGGACATTTCCATTTTTTTTCTTTTATAAAAAAAAGGTAGTGTTCATCAAAATAGTAGATTCAAATGCGAAAGATTATCCGATGTGAATTTAGATTCTAGATTTAAGGAACATCGTTTATGTTCTACCTATTTTGAGAGTTGGTATGATAAAAATTTTTTTTATACAATTAAGCTTATCCAAAACTTTTGTTTTATTTTTGGTAAAACATGATTCGAATTCGAAATAATAATGAAAATTTTGTTTTTTATGTTACAATATTATGTGATAAATGGATTTGTTTTGAACATCATTACTGAACGTTAAAAAAAATAAAAAAATAAAACTTTTCATAAATACACAAATTTAATATGAGGTATTAAAAATGATATAAGTCATAAGAGATCAGGATTCAAATTTTATTGTTCAAAAGTTTTAAATGTGTAAGTAAAACAAAAAAGAGAATGATACAATTGAGAGGTGTTAAAAAAAAAAAAAAAAAGAACAATTGAGAGAAGATATATGCATAAATTCAAATTTTTATAACATTCATTTAATGTAACAAAGTGATCTATTTAAAAAACTTGCACCGAAGATTTAAATTTTTATCTGAAAAAATGATTTAAAATTCAAATACATAATTAACTAGATTAATTTTGCGTTCACGAACTTGTGTTACACTATCCTTGCTTTCGTTCAGCACATGCGCCCACACAATCGGAATTTACATAAATGCACTATACACAATTCTTATTATTTTTTGTTTTAAGGGAGGTATGCACATGGATATGATTGATGATGACGACGGTCATGTTTGTCTTTATTTCATTATTATTATTTCTTTTTCATAGACAAGATAGGACTCTTAACCTATATACATAAAAAATAATAATAATAGTTAATAAGTAGGAAAAACAGATGAGAAAATTGTATTTATCATAACACAAATTGAATTAGTTAGAAAAACGGGTAAAAAAATCTATTACCACAACACAAATTGATTTTGCCGCTATTATAAAAATAAAAAAAACTACTTTGGTCTTCTTTTTTTTATAATATGATTTTTTAAGATCAAATATTTTTTTAAAAAAATTCGAAGCCATCATTTTTTATAAAAGCAAAAATCTCGTTACCGTTCTCCCAGAAACCTATTGCTACGAGAGTCATATTTGTCAACTCCGCAGATTTTATACATGTGAGTATTGTCTTGTTTCTTTTCATGTTCTCTGTTTTCCTTTTTAAAAGGGGTTTATTTGTTTATTAAATCATGGCGAGAAATAAGCCACCGCCAGTGCGTCACTTAACACGACAATGATTGGGAGTCAGAACTTGACTCGATATCCATTAATTAATTTAATTTAATTTAACAAAAGTGGGAATTCTGTAATCCCACCATTTTAACGAACTCCATTTCCCACCTATTGTTCTGTGGTGTAACAAAAAGGGAGACATGAGCATGGTGACTGGGTCGTTGCTTTCCTTCCTTATTGGACTCCATCAGTGGTACCAAGCTGGAGTAGTGCTCTGAAGTCAATTGAATTCATTGCTGTAAGCTTCGTTAGTGGATTTTATTTGGCTTTATGTATAGTCATTTGTATATAGGCAGATTTATTCTAACGATTCTATATATAGTTAATTTTTTTAATATTTAAGTCTTAATAAGTTTAAATTTCTTTAATGATTATATAATGAAATAAAATTATTTTTCATTACGTAACCTAAATTCTCATAAATTTTCAATGAATAAAAAAATAATAAAAATTAAAGTTTTTGGACGATGGTAGATGCTTCACATCGTCTATTTTACTTTTGATTTCTTTTTTTTTAATGTTCTTTTATTTTTTAAAAAAATTTAATTTCTCAACGTTTGATTTTTGTTATTATTGTATCATTCCGTTGATGTTTTAGGCTAATAGAATTGTGATATGTATCCAATCCTCCCTCCTTTAGCCCTAAATAAATGAATTTCTTTTTGCCTCAAATAAATGAATCTTGCAAAAAAAATTGCAAAAAAGACAAAAAAACAAAAATAATGTTTTTTTTTCTTTTCTAAAATTCATCTATTTTTCATTTGGTAAAAAAAAAATTATTTGACGCCTAAAAATTCTATAAACTCAATGATACGATTTAATATTGCTTAAAATATTAAGAAAAAATATAATAATGACAAAAAATAAACAGTAAAATACGTGATTAAATAAAAAATAACAGAATAATTTTTTTAAATACGAAATTAAAATAAAGAAATTCTGCAACCATTGAACTTTTACAATTTAGATGTTCATTGCAGAACATCTTCGTAGAAATTTAGTGTGAAAACCAGAAAGAAAGAAAAAAAATTGAACCTACTGATCAATTGGATTTTTTGTGCACCGGATCAATGTTTAAGGGAAAAACTGACCAGACCTATCTAAACCGATCTATTGTATTCAAGTGGATTCATGCGTATTGTTCCATTTTCACATAAAAAGACCATTACAGCAGTACAATTGGACCCCAAATTCTCAATGGGCTCAACTTTCAAGATCGCCTTATTTCTCCATCAACAAGAGACAAAATGTCCCCTTCACCGGACAGGAACAACGCTAGCTTGTTTAGCGCAAGGGGACCGCTATTCATCCTTTAGAAAAAGAATAGATGTGAAGAAAACTATTGCAAGCATCAGCTTATTCACATCATATGCTGAATCCATCCACTGCAAGAGATGTAATGCCCTGTCTTCATCTCGAATTAGTTGGGTTTAACCTGCCAGAAACATGCCATGTACGTCCAGAATGAGAAATAAGAATTGTTGGCATGTCCATGTCACCCACCTGCCAAAGTTATCTAACACAACCAGAGCATACTGTTCGCAGCTGGCAAAGTGTCGGTTCCGACATTATTTTCAATCTTAAACAAACCTTTGAATTATGGAAAATGTTCCCACAAGCTACCTCTAAACCAACAATCCAACATGATTTAAGGCAAAATAAAAATAAAAATGTTATATTCCCGTGCCCATACAGTGAACACTTGAAAGGGTAATTTCTGTCATACAGAAAGGATCCCGATTTTAGGTTTCGAAGGGGCAAAAAGTGAACATTTGTTTTTAGAGATCAGTGTTATCTCTTACAAGTGGTTTAGAAAACTTGAGGCTCTTTTCACCCGCAGAGGAGACAATGCAAATACACAAGGCTCTTTGCCATAGATTACGTTATTATTATCATTGTTTTCTTTATATTAAGATTCAGGTGATTACAAAAATTCATATTGGAGATAATTTCAACTATAACCTGCTCCGCCCATGTTCCAGGTTTGAAGATCTTTAAATTTAACTTTTCTTGCTCGCTCTGAAGAAAATCAAGTCTCATGCTATCTAGTAATATTTGTGCGATCAACAACAATAGATAAAATTTTGCAGACAAATTAACAAGACTTGAAACTGAATTCATCATGGACGAAGCGATGCAATGGGGAGCAATGCATTTTCCTTTAAAATAAAGTTTCTCAATTTTTAGGAGCCCATTTTACAACGAGTCATCTACCTCATTATAGCCCAATACCTGTGAGTTGGAACAGTAGCAGGCTAATAGCCCGTTTGCAATAAACAGGCTCAGCTGCTCGAACCTAGCCGCTATTGTCTGAGATGCATGGGATATGGCAATTCGCATACATTATTTCTTTCAGTTGAGGATAAAGGGGTAATAATGCTAGATTCACAAAATCTGGCTGCTCGGTATCATTAAAAAAACTGAAATCTGGCTTGGGTGAGATTTTTTGTATTTTGTTCATTGAGGAATGGCAGGGAAAGCAATGATACATGCCGTTAAATTAAACTAGACTATACTGGTTGGGTGACAGCAGTTGTCAATAAACCGTGTTGACAATGCTGCTCATGATCTTTTTCGAACATCTGAACAAAAGAAAAAAACACGAGTTTTATACATAGATCACCGTTTGCTTTTCCTAAAAGGTGCTGTCGAGAATCTTGTCGTAAAAACGAAGCATGTTGACATAAAAAAAAAAAAGCACTCAATTTCTCAAACAAAATCTTAGTTTAAGCTGTCAAAAGGAAAATAACCTTAAAGTTGGGGAAAAAAAGATTATTAAGATTTATGGTTGTGATTTGTTAATTTTGATTTGGTTTTCTCTGGTTGAACTTTCAAGAACAATCACAAGGATATATAACAAAAAGAAAAAAACACGAGTTTTATGCATAGATCACCGTTTGCTTTCCCTAAAAGATGCTTTTAAGAATCTTCTCGTTGAAACGCAGCCTGTTGACCAAAAAAAAAAAAGCACTCAATTTCTCAAACAAAATCGTAGTTTAAGCTGTCAAAAGGAAAATAACCTTAAAGTTGGGGAACAACTTTAACTTCTAACCTTCATTGCTAAAAAAAAAAAAAATCAACCTACACACTACATTTTATTTTTTGCTGAAAGAGTTTCAACATACCTATTTCAATTTAATTAATCAAAATAATTTTTTAGCAGTTGATAATATTTTAATTTAATTTATTAATTTAAAATACTTAGCTTGAAAAACTTTCAAAACCAAATGCAGTGGTAACATAATTCCAATATTTGTATTCAATGATTAGTATTAAAACGTACAAAAAGTTCGATCACGAAAAACATTGTAAAAACTATTCATTGACAACTGCTGCGAATCAATATGCGGTCACTTTGCATTTTTCTGCGCACTCACGCTGTCACATACATTGCACTGTTCACATACCCTCAACACGCTCAATCGTAATGTATTTGCACTGTTTGACAAAAAGTTGCATTTTAGTTTCTTACTTATTCAGAAACTTTCATTTCAATCTTTAACTTCATTTGTATTGCAATGTGATCATTAAATACTTCAAAGAAAGAGAAATAAAGAGAGAGAAAGGGAGAGATGACGAGATTCATTCCGAGCACTTTGAATGTCGAACTCATCACCATTTACTCGTCTTAAAGAGTAAAATTTATTTTATGATGATTGTAAGTTATGAAATGATAGGAAAAGATAAATAGAAAATCCAAAATATTTTGAGTTTTTATTTTATTTTATTTTGATTAAAATTTTTGTGTATTTTGTGTTTTTTAAAATGAGTTTTGAAGATTTACATTAGTTTTTTTGATGTTATATCTATGATTTTGAGGTGTTTTTAAACAAAAATAAGGTTAAATTTGGATTTCGAGAAACAAAAAACTCTAAGATGGACTTTTCACCGACTTTTCTAGCCAAACAAAATTCATCAAAAAATTACAATGGCCATCTCTTTTTTGTTTCCCGTTGATTTTGGGGTGCCGGCCTGGTCCTCCAGGCCCAAAAGCATTAGCCCTTGAATAAAGTTTTTTTTTTTTGAAAAATTCAAAAATATATTTAAAAATATTTTCATAGCTTTATTTAATTTATTTTTAAAGTTTTAAATTAAAAAATATTATCTTTTAATTTTGGTACAAGTTCATTTTTTTTTACAATCTTATGAAAAATATAATTTTAATATATTGTTTAATTTTGAATTAAAATTTCAATTTAAATTATTATAAATTTTTATTTAAGAATGAATGCACAAAAAAGAATGAATAATGCATTTTTAAGTAAAAAATTTTTGTAAAACATATGAAAGAATAATTCAAATATAAAATTTTGTTTAAAAAAATTAATTTTTTTTCAATCTCTAATTTGATATATTTTAGTAAACCTGTAACATATCATAAACTATAAAATTAAAATTATTTTATTATATTCTACTTGTAACATTGCAGAGGTAGTCGAAGAAAAAAAAGCTCTCATTAAATTTATTTTCTAAACAAGCTTAATATACGTTAATAATAAATAATTAAATATTTTCACATATGTCGATATAAATCTATATTAATGAATTGAAATAAGGTAAAAAAAATTGTTATATTTAATTTATTATAATAAGCTGCGTCACTTTTAATACATCAAAATATATACATCAAATGACTATTTGCCCTCGAGGAAGCGCTGGCAACCGGCTAGCTTTTTCCTAAACTAAAATAGTTTTGGTTGCTAACGTTCCCCTCGAGGCTTGCCGTCATCTTTTGGACATTCCGAAGGCAAAAGGTCGAATGTATAAAAAAGAGCCTAAACAGAAATGAAATTCCAAGGCCCAAGACCACGGCTCCTAGGTCTTCAATAGGGCACGAACAGAGGATATTCTCGTCATCTCACAGTCGAGGAAGAGAAAACGGATAACCTACAACGCGTCGGCTTTCCCAATACTAATTTTAAGCGAAGCATGATTTCCCTCCAATTCCCGAACGCTAACCTTTTTAATTTTTGATTTTATTTTATTCTCCTTATCTGCTGCAGTTTGAGATTACAGTTACACTACCACTCCAACACTTATTTTAAAATCTCGATTTTCATAAACCCCCGTTTTCCCTCTTTTCCAAAAAAACAAATTGCAAAAAGTTAGTTCTCACTTCCTGTTTGTTTCTCCAGAAAATCTAGGGTTTCGACTTGTGCTTGCTTCGTCTCAGGTACTCCCTCGCCATTTCATTTCCTTCCTCGAAAGAAATTAAGGAGAAGAGATTTTAATTTGTTTTTTCTTTTTTAGGATCTACGGATCTGTGTGGTTTCTCTATTATTTTTGGATATATTATTAATTAATTAGTCTTAAATTAATGTTTATTGCATTTTCAATATGGTTGTTTTGATTAGGAACTGTATTTGTTAACAAATTATTTGAGAAGAAAATAAGTAGTTGCTTTTATTAATTACAGCGTGTTTTATTTTCTATATTAAAGTCACTATACTTATGTAACTCCTAAAGAGGAAAAATCTTTTTAATGTATTAATCAACGCTAGAGAAAAATGTCCCTTACTATTACTTTAAGAAGGCTGCATTAACTGGTAAGATTATTATTTGTTCAGGTTGGATTTTCGTAGTGATTTCTCTGTTTGATTTGTTGGTGTTCTGTGTAATGCTCGCTAATTTGAAATTTGAATTTAGCAGTAGATTGTGTTAACTTACAAAGTGAATGTTTTATCCACTTGATTTTTTGAGTGTTACGTGATTTGAGATGGTGGACAAAAATGTGAGAAATGACGTAGAAAGTATGAATGGCTGGAAAAATTGCAGTTTGATTTGTTTTGGAATTTCTTTTGCTTGTTTTTGGATTCTGGTATGGATTTATAAATCATAGTTCTGGGTTATGTTTCCAGGTTACTTCAACATGGATTCTGTAACACAAACTTTCCAACATCGCATGTCTGTCAAATTGTGGCCCCCTAGTCAGAGTACCAGGCTAATGCTTATAGAGCGGATGACCAAGAATTTCATCACTCCATCCTTTATCTCCAGGAAATATGGGTTATTGAGCAAAGAGGAGGCTGAGAAGGATGCCGAGAAAATTGAAATGATGGCTTTTGCAGCTGCAAACCAGCACTATGAGAAAGAACCGGATGGTGATGGAAGTTCTGCAGTACAGATCTATGCTAAAGAATCTAGTAGGCTTATGTTGGAGGTTCTCAAAAGGGGGCCCAGAATACAGGAGGATGAAGAGGTGACGACAGCTGATAAAGGTGCTGTTGCTGTCGCCAATGTGTTTGATATATCCGGTGGCCCGCGGGCTTTTATTAGTGGAGAGGAGGCTGAGGAACTTTTAGAACCACTCAAGGTGCCAGGAAACTTGTATACTAGGATATGTCTCAGCAATAGAAGCTTTGGCTTGGATGCAATCCATGTTGCAGAACCCATCTTGTTGTCAATAAAGGATCAATTGACAGAAGCGGACCTGTCGGACATTGTTGCTGGAAGACCAGAATCAGAAGCTCTTGAAGTCATGAATATATTTTCTTCTGCCCTAGCAGGCTGTAATTTGAGGTATCTGAACCTTTCAAACAATGCCTTAGGCGAAAAAGGTATCAGGGCTTTTGAGGCACTTCTCAAGACCCAGAATAATTTAGAGGAGCTTTATTTGATAAACGATGGTATCTCAGAAGAAGCTGCACGTGCGGTTTGTGAACTAATTCCTTCAACTGAGAAGCTCAAGGTTCTTCATTTTCACAATAACATGACTGGAGATGAAGGTGCAGCTGCTATTGCTGAGATGGTGAAACAATCCCCTGTGTTGGAGGATTTTCGTTGTTCTTCAACAAGGGTGGGCTCGGAAGGTGGTGTTGCATTAGCTGAAGCTCTTGGCTCATGTAGCCATTTGAAGAAGCTTGATCTGCGTGATAACATGTTTGGTGTGGAAGCTGGAATTTCTCTGAGTAAATCTTTGTTTGCATTTGCAGATCTTACTGAAGTTTACCTCAATTATCTTAATTTGGAGGATGAGGGGGCAGAAGCACTTGCCAATGCTTTAAAAGATTCTGCACCCTCATTGGAAGTTCTGGAAATGGCTGGGAATGACATTACAGCCAAAGGTGCTTTATCTTTGGCTGCATGTATTGCTGCAAAACAATTTCTCACCAAACTAAACCTTGCCGAGAATGAACTGAAAGATGAAGGTGCAATTTTGATTGCCAAGGCAATTGAAGTGGGTCACGGCCAGCTAAATGAAGTTGATTTGAGCACTAATGCAATTAGACGGTCTGGGGCAAGACTCTTGGCACAGGCCGTTGTGGATAAGCCTGGATTTAAATTGTTAAATATCAATGCTAACTACATATCCGATGAAGGGATTGATGAGGTGAAGGATATATTTAAGAGTTTGCCTAATGTGCTTGGAGATTTGGACGAGAATGATCCGGAAGGAGAGGATCTTGATGAGGATGCACAAGAGGACGATGATGCTGATGATGAAGATGAATTGGAATCAAAACTCAAGGGGCTAGAAATCAAGCATGAAGAGTAGGAGTTCATTGCAGTAGTTTGCTTCCTTGGAGTTTCATTTGAAACCTATCGATGGACTACAGATGTTTTTAGCTTACCAACCTTTTCTGCGTAAGGTAGTCCAGCTGCATTAGCTGGGGGTGATAGTATTATCCGTCGTAGGCCAGGGCTGAGAAAAGGGCTTCTTTTCATTTATTTATCGAAGTAGCAAATTTATTAATTGTAGTTTTAATGTACTTGGAATTGAATTAGTTTTAGAATTTGCTAAACAATGTTGTATTGTTGCCGCCTTTCAGGCAATATTTTATCCTTTATTTTCTAGTTACTACTACGTGCTGGGTGTTTTTTGTCTTCTTATCTATTTCATGCTTACTTGGGTGACATTTCAGAATACAATCTGAAAATATGCATAAAAAGATAAAATGTAAAACATTAAAGTTAAAGCTAGGCTGTAATTGATGAAGATCTTGATGCAGCAAGATAATTCATGTTCTGGCTGCAGAATGCGTGGTTCGCTTTTTCCTAAACGAGCTTCCTATCCATTATCACACTGTTGAGCTATCATTGTTGTCATCAGACGTATGGGGATGCACGATTTTGCTCCGAAAGTTTGTCAGTACCTTTTCTTAAAACCATGGTATTAGCAAACACAGATAATTATTGTAGACTAAATGCTTGCTATTTCCTTCTCCAAAACCTTTAATGAGAATTCAAAGGGATGATTAATAACCTGGACCCCTTGTATTTAGCCATGGCAGAACGTCAAAACCTCATAACCAGCAGACATGTAGTCGATATAGCATAATATTTCAATGACAATGAATTTAATTCTATATGCCTAGGAATGAACTTCCGGAGTTTTTATGAAGATATTCTGCAGTATATATTTGAATGTTTGTTCTTTTGTTTTTGGCAGTGCTACACATAAGTTTGCATTGAATCATGATGATGTAGAGTGTAGACCCGTCGCCAATGAGAATTGTATTAACATCGTAGATAAGATCTTTATTTTTTGGTAATTCCCTTTAGGCGGAAGTTAATAAACGAAATGATTCTTGACAAAATCAAGAACATAGATGACAGAAAGAAAACACAAAAATGCACCTCCTACATCCATCTGCAATTGGTTATGGGTAGATAAGATATCATGATCGATGTTCACGCAGCAACTGGAACTTTAAGTGACTCTAGTATTTTATCATCAATCTCGAATTGCATGGGCTTTTTGTCTCGGCCAATCTTTACGTACTCATCAAATCGCTCTTTCAAGTCTTCAGGAAGGTTCGTGGTACCCTGCCATCCCAATATGTCCTTGGCAGCTCGTGGTTCTGCATAGAAGTGCTGCACAATATATGGACCATTACTTGGGTCATCTATTTGCTCAAACAGATGCAAGATGGTAGTGAAGAACACCTCAAGTATATGGCTTCCAATGTGCATTCTACAGAAACTTTAGTAATATGATATATCTGAACCACACATTTGATGTTTTCTACAATCTAAATTACTGCCATTGTTCCACGAAGAATTAAAGGGAGTAGTGTGCAGGAGGATATAAAACTGTTCGGTGGAAATTAAAGTGATGATGCAAATGTGGACAAATAATTTACTGAAGTAATTAAGCACCTAATTTATGAAGAGATCAAAATAAGCCATTACCATATTTCGGAAAGGAAAAGCTTTTTTTGCATCAATTCCAACAGCTTTTGGATCATAATGCACGATCTCTACTGGTAGACCTGCAGCTTGTGCACAGAGTTTGGCCATTCCATCCAGGGTCACAGCGCGATCGCTTACACAGTTGAATATGTTACCAGATGCGGCTTCTGGGTTCTCGACAGCTAGAGTAAGCATGGAAGATAAGTCTCTAACATGGGAGATATTAGTCAGTTGCATCCCAGAGCCAGGGATTGGCACTGGCCTTTTTCGGACAATTCCTGTTCCCAGTAGATCACAATCAGGTTTTCTTATGGATGGAAGATAAACAGTTGGGAGCAATTCCAAATTTCCAATACTTAATGAAATCATGGACATAAAACAATTGTTAGCGTCTATAAAAATGAAACGAAATCATCAGAGGGAATTAACTATAGGCCCCTATTGGGTCCACAGCTAGTCATTGCGCAATCCTGCCGTAGTCTAGCTGTCTACTTATTACTTACGATCAAAAAACCACTCCTCACAATCTTTATTGTTGCCTGACCCAATCATGTATTGGGGACGGAATGCAGCCCAACCACTGAAAGAATTTGCTATGTATTTCTCCACCCCAACATGACCAGCATCAGCTTTAACAACATCCTGTAATGACGAAAAACTCTCAGTTAAGTGGAGAAAGACCACCTCGTTTGAATGCCACTGGGACAATAACCTACAACGTTACCCCTTCAACATGAGGAGGTTCATCGGTTGGTTTGTAGATTCCAGCACTGCTGATGAATAGGAACTGCTTCACACCAGCACCCTTGGCCCAGTCTGCGACAGGCCTATGCGAGGAGAAAAATAACAGAGTGGTAAAATGGGAGAAAGCAGAAGCACTGAAGCCTGAAACTACGAGTATTTGTAGGAATATATCTTCCAGGGAGTATGATGGTTAAACAATCAGTACAAACACCCAAAATTCCTAATCCCAAAAATGCTAGAACCATTATAAGGCCGTAGGTCTTAGGCGCTCTCGTTTTTGCTTATTCAAATTATGAACTGTTTTTTCGTCTTCAGAATCTCATAGTCCAGTTCCTTACTCTTCAAAATTGCCAAATCTCTCATAGCTATACAATATACAGAAGTATTCGGGGATCATGTTAATTCCCACAACCCTCAATTATCAAATTCTATTATCAACTCAGAAACTAGTAACTATGTTCATTTTAATGAACTTCAAACCAAATCCGTATAGTAATGTGCAAACTGGTCATTCCCCTACTGACATATTCCAACATTTCATACCTTAGCATATCCCAAATCAGAAATTACTAAAACCTATTGGATTATGGAGCTGAATACAGCGAACCACATTGACATGCCTTACCTACATGTTTGAATATTAGGTACTAGCTAGCAACAAGAATTGAAGTAACAAACCTCACAGTATCCAGGTCCTTGCCATTGTTATCCAGCACCACATCAAATGTTGATCCTTCCACGACCTTTCCTACCTCCGCTGGATTTCCCCATACTGTCTTCCCTCCAGCACCCACAATTTCCTTCAAAAGCAAAAACCAGCCCCCCATAAAAATTCCAACCACCAAAGTTAAGAAGAAAATTTCCCAGGTTATAATAAGCAACCCGCATCTGAATATATTGATTTTTAGTACTTACTGAGAATCTACTGAATGGAGGCTTCTTCATTTTGTCAGAACTCTCTTCACCCACAGTCAGGATAGTGACTTCATGTCCAGAACCCAGAAGCTCTTTTGCAAAATAGAACCCAATAACTGCATGACCACCACTGTCGGTATTAACTATAAGGACCTTCTTTTTCCCTGCAGCACTAGCCTTGACAGTTAAAGAAGAGGCAAAGAGGCGTCTTGAAGGGGTGGGATATGCAGCAAAAGAAGGAGATACAGAAAGAGAAGAAGAGAGAGGAGACAATTGCGACAAAGAAGAAAGAGAAAGGCGTGATGAGGATAAGAGAGAAGGTTGAGAAAGCTTTGAAGATGGACTAGAGAAGATGAGAGAGGAGGATGAAGCAGCAAGAGTAGCCATAGACTGTTCACTTTTTTGAGTTGTGTTTTGATTGTTTGAGAATTGAGAACCAGCAGTTTCTTTGGCAACTAGATAAAGATAACGGCCGGACTTCTTTATTTATTTAATACAGTTAATTTCCCGGGTAATTTGAATGTTATAGTTGAGATGGTTGGCTGTGGTTGATGAGAATCGATTCATTGTCAGTTAATGGCAAAATTTACAGAGACGAATTTCCAAGACTTTATTTATTTATTTATTAAGGCTAGTCTAGTTAAACCATTCAAAAACACGTTATTAGCAAATTTAACAGGGTATTTGTTGGGCATTTTTTAAGAATAATCTAATAGCAATGGCTTTAACAGGGGTCAATTTAGAAGAAGTCATGGGAATAATGTTTTTAGGATGATTAGGATGAATATGTGTAACCTATTTAAAACTTTACCATAAAAAAAATATATATATATCCATAATTTACAACTCCGAAAAAAAAAACTCTTATTTTCTGTTTTTTTTTTTTTTTTACCAGTAAATGCCCTTTTAGTTGGTTGTAAGTTCCCATAAAATTAACACTGTGATTTTATTTACTTATGGTTTTTCCTTTTTTTCTTCGTTTCTTCATTTTTGGAGCACTTTTCATTTTAAAACTAATAGAAAACCCAACTGAGATCCTGTATTTGCATTAATTGACAAACTAAATCTTGTATAAATAATTTTACTAATTTGATTCTATAATTGTTATATTTAAACAATTCAATTCAACTATTCTTGATTATTAACATAAATTTATTTGTTATATTAAAACTTATCGAGTTGAAAAATATAAGCCATATGCAACAAAATTTTGACCAAATGGTTAGCTTTAATTTTTTTAAAAAATAAAATAAACCAAAAGATTTACAAGTTATTCTCTTTCTATTTTTTTTTAAAAAAATTTGTTATTTAGCAGGTTTTATGAATTGTAATGTGATTTTTTTGTGAGTCAAAATTTAGATGAAGTATTTTAATCAAAATTATGGGTTACATGAATTTTTATTAATAATTAAATTTAATTAGATTGAATTATCTAAATATAACGAATATAGAGTTAAATTTACAAAATTATTTACACAAAATTCAATTTGTCCATTTGGTACAAATACAAACTTAAAATGTGATTTTAGAAAAACTGATGGATGTATTTTTGTATTGTTCTTTTTCCTCGTAAAGAGACTCGTCACAGTGTTCTTTAATATCTGTAACTTAATAATGACTACTACAAACACGATAAGTTAAAGTCAGGTTAGAAGCTGAACTGAGTTTAATTGTAAAAGGAAACGTTCGATCTAAAATCGCAGATCCAAGCCGTTGGATCAAAAAATGAGACCCCACTTGGCGCGTTGAAAAAGCACAACAACTTTAAATGACCTCAAAGCAGTGGACCAAGTCCACTTTTTAGATAGACAAGAGAAAGACAAGATCATTAAAAAAATACTTCAGAGATTTTCGAACGTTAGCCTAAAATCGGTGCCCTGTCCTTTTTAAATCCCCAACACCATCATCATTAGTCTCTCCTCCTGAAAAACTAGCCGTTACCCCTCTCTCTCTCTCTTTCATGGCTGCTTCAGTGGAATCCCCATCCCCAGCTGCCCACCTCAACAAGGTACCTCTTATCCGTTTCTTCTTTCTAGCTGATTGGTAATGCTGTAACTTTGCTTAAATTGGTTGCTTATTGCAGGAGTCTACAAGCTTGATTGTTTCTTCTCCTCTGTATAGCCCAGCTTCAGATAAGCGTTTTTGGAGCGCTCTCCGTAGCCGGACCGACAAGCTTCTCGAGAGTCGGCACCGTGATGTCTCGATCGGCCAAGATCAGCTCAATCTTGACCCTTCTTTAAGCACCCGTGTGGTCAGTTTTAACTTTTTTAGTTTCAGCTTTTCTTTTCAATGATTCTTGTTTCGATATATTTGTAGCCTTAACACAGATGGGTTTTGTTTTCGGTTTTCTTTCTTTCTTTCTTTCTTTTTGTCGGGCGGGGCGGGGCTATAGAGAGTAGGTGAATCGGATCGAGCTAAGAGAATGAAGGAGGATTCATTACTTCTGTTAAGAGGGTTTGACTCCATTGCTCAAAATCTCTCTCAGCTCTCCAATAATCTGGGCAATGCTCTTCAGGTAAATGGAAACTCTTTTTAAGCCAGCTTGTTTACTGCACTTGTCATTGTTGTCAAATTAGTCTTTTATCCCCATAAGAAGTGCATTTTGCTTAACCAGGATTTTTTCTTCTCGATCGGAGAAATTTTGGTTCTGATGTCAATCTGCTACTTCAAGTGTCCACTGGGGAAAAAATTACTGAAGATTCCTATAGATAGCTTTCTCATTATTTTTTTCTAGCTTACGTATAGTTTACAACCAAACTTACTGAGCTACAGACTAGAACATTATTGAACTTAGTTCCCTGTTTTCTCTGTTTTCAGGGAGCTAGACATCTAGCTGAACCACCCACATTGAGAGAAATATTCCACAGTAGGCTCGAGAACTCTGAGATCGAACAAGAAGTAGAAAAGCAACAAAATGAAGAAGAAGAGGAGAAGAAGAAAGGATTGAAGAGGAAGTTTGATCCAGATGATAGATTAGAAGATCAAGGAAATGATTTTCACAAGGAGAATGAGCAACGTCTCGAGGATAAAAGGCTGAAGAAAGCCAAAAATGTCGGTTTCTCCTTTCTGTTTAGTGCCATACTTGATCTATTATAGGCTGTCAAGTTTTGTGCTAGTTGCAATTGATTGTTTATTGGTGTTCTGCAGCTGGCAGTTTCCATGGCAGCAAAAGCAGCTGCACTTGCCAGGGAACTCAAATCTATAAAATCTGATTTATGTTTTATGCAAGAGCGATGCGCTCTGCTTGAAGAGGAAAACAGAAGGATTCGAGATGGATTCTGTGGAGGGACTAGACCAGAAGAAGATGATCTGGTAAGCCCTTATGTGCAGTTACGCAAATTGATTGTTCTTGAATAAACGTGGTTGCAATTTTGATTAACATGAGATGCTCTATATATTGGTGCAGATGAGGCTTCAAATGGAAGCACTACTTGCAGAGAAGTCCAGATTAGGAAATGAAAATGCCAATCTTAAACGGGAAAACCAATGCCTTCACCAGCTCGTAGAATACCACCAGATCACTACACAAGATCTCTCTGCATCGTATGAGCAAGTTATACATGGAATGTGCTTGGACTTTTCTTCTCCAACATCCTCTATAATCGAAGAGGCAGACAATGAAGATGATAGTGAAGTTGGAAAAACACCTCGGAAGGATATTTTTGGATTCGCCACTTCTCTTGACGAAGTAGGGGGTGAGTAAGTGAATGAAGCATTGACAGGCAGCCACGGGTGTTTAGTCAAATAATCTGATCAGGGTTCTTTTTTTTTTCACTTGAACCTGTAAATTTTGTTGTGTTTTTGTCTGTTAGAAACCTTACACCACAAGCAGCCGTGGGTTACTATTGTGTAATTTTGTTCCCTATGTACTATGGTCTATTTTGTTCCCCTCTTATCATTATGAGAATAAATGGGCGAATTTTACACTGCGTATCTATTTTGTTTCTTCATTTCCTTCACCAACTTATCTGAACTGTTCAGTTTCTTCGAATTCCAAATTTCAAACCGCGCACATCCATTTATCAACAGATACATGTTACTAGTCTTATATGCACAAAACAATTGGTCAGCAAGAGAGTTGCTGCTCAAACTACAAGGATACAAAACACCTGCTGCGAATAAATGGGCAAATTGAACAGTTCTGTTCAGTTTCTTTGAATGCCAAATTTTACACTGCGCAACTATATCAACAGATACATGTTACTAGTCTATATGCACAAAACAGTTGCACAGTAAGAGAGTTGCTCAAAATTACAAGGGTACAAAACACCACCTGCTGCGCATAAATGGGCTCTAAACCGTAATGATACAAAACACCTGCTGCGAATAAATGGGCAAATTGACACATTGCACATCTATTTCAACCTCAGACGTGAGCATTGATACAAAATATGTGATCATAGGCATCTGATGTTTATGTTAAAAAGCCCACTAGTTCTATCAAAGCAAAATAAAGACTAAATGAGGATGTAACTGTCAGAGTTCAGTTCTATCTTTATAGCTTGTCTAGTTTCTTTCTCTTAGCAGAAGTCCTATGCTCAAGACTGGCTTCCGGTGCAGAGGTTTTGGGCAATCCAGAGACCAAGATCTCATTGAACTTCTCCAACACATCAAAAACCATAGGATTCCCCTTCTCATACTGCAGAAAACCAAACCAAAATCATGTCAACTTTATTATGTCTAAACATGATGAAAGCAACTGTGTTTTTTTTCCCTTTCCCTCCATAATGTATTTCTGATTATGAAAATGACCCAAACAGGCACATCAAATATCAAGACAGAATAGGAAATAAGTAGGGAATTAAAAGCGAGACCTATTCATCATCAAATGCATCAAATCGGCTAACTGGAGCCAAATACAACTTATACATACTATGGAACTTTGCAGGAAAAAAGAAGCCCGTTGCTTTCATGAAGCCAGATGGATTTTGAAGCATAATTTGTTTCGAGTAAATTTTTACAATTTCAATCCTCAGCACTACTGCACTTCTGTCTCAGAAAAAAAAAATGTATAAAGAAAACAGAACTGGCCCAAAGCCATGATTGCTCTCATAGACATCTGTATTTGTGTATTAAAGTACTCAAGCAAAGAGCACAAAGACATTCATCAAAAAACATTACCAAAAAAAGAAAAAGCAGGGAGCACTTCAGAATGCACACAACATGAATCGAGGAAAAGCACAGAGGGAGAAACCAGTATCATGCCAATAAACTAATGAATGTCTTGCAAAAATATGTGAAAAGAAAAGAGAACTAGCCCAAACTTGTAATTGATCTCACATGCTTCTGGTATACATGTATTTAAAAGCTCATGAAAACAAATAATAAGACATTCATTAAAACAAAATCCAAGAATAAAAAAACAACAGGCAGGAGAAGCACAGAAAGTGTATGCCATTACTTCATTTTCAAGGAAAACCATAGAGAGTTTTCAGTGGAAAGAATATGCTATTGTTACAGCTTAGTGAGCTTTAACGACAAAACCTTGGGTCTTTAATCTTTATATTGTTGGCACGTTGTCAGTGATATAGAGACTGTGAGGAGATATAGAAGAAACAAATAAAAGCTTTAAAAGATTTATTTCTAGAACAACAGCAAAAGAAAGTATAAAACCTACACCTTGCTGCCTCTATTTTGATTGGCAAGAAATGAACCAAAGATGTGCCCCAAGCCTTTGCATAAATAACTATTGCCAAAAGTACAGACAATTCCAACACAGAAGAAATCATTCATTCTAACTCGTTAAGTCAACAATGGATCAACAGTAGATGATGAAACATTGTTACTACAATGGAAAACATTCAATTTATTCCTTAATGTATAGGAAACTATAATGCTTCTAGAGAATGGTTAACTCTCAACATTCGCGTCCACTTATAAAACAAGTCCAATTAAAACATAGACAAAGAGAGTACAGAATATCTGTAAGATTAAGTGGTACAGAAAAACATACAGCTTCTATTTTGCCAAGAGCATTCTGAAACTTCAAATTAAGCTGATAATTTTCCTCCATTAAGGCTTCAACCTACAAATCAAATAACCAAAAAAAAATCCAACAATTAAACTAAAAATAACAAATGAATATAACAAACAAAAGAAAGGATTCTCAACAAGCCACTAAAGAAAGATAACCTTCTTTTGGGAGTCAATATACAAGCTTTTATAAGTGAAATCACCCCCACCACTGCAGCCCCCATCAAAGGAGTTCTTGGTTGCCTAATCCAAAGTCAGCAAGTGTTACATATGGAGTAATAAAAATGGTAAAGATATAAAGAACGAGAAAGCTAATTACATAAGCAATAACTTAATACCTTAAATGTCACATCTGTGGTCTTTTGTTGTGCCTCTAACATTTTCAGAATATAGTCTACTTTTTCTTCCAAGTTGCCCATTGAAGTAGGCTCTAGCAGTTTTGCATCCACAGGGTTATCTTCTTCCTCACTTCCAGTAAGAGTTATCTCGTCAATGACACGCTCAACATCTTGGTTGTGGGTAACCACAGCTGAAGAATGAAGACGCTCAGATCGCCTAACATTAGCAGGGGTTTGCTTTGCTATCTTTTTTGAATGTGATTTTGCAGAGTTTGCTTGCATTTGGAAGTTTGGTTCCACTCCCTCCAAGGTAGAATTTGCAGGCTGTTTGGAGCTTTCAGGCTGCAAGGAGGGATTACTATTATTGGGCTCCAGTTGCACACCAAAAACATTAGGAGCTGTACTTTCAGCCTTCAATCAAAATCAAACAACTATCAGTTCAAAACTGACTTCAAGTATTATAAATGTTCGACCCAAGAGACATTTCACAACACATACAACGAGGAAGCTAAATCTTCCTACTATAAATGCTAAATGGTAATATTTTAAAAAACGCATTACAACGGTGGAAACTTAAAAGCCTTGTACATCTACAATGAGGCTAGAATTTGAAATTTCCTCAATACCACATGCACGCTTTTTACTTTTTTAATACCAAATCTGAGTTGTTGAAATTTTCAACACAGGTGGCTTTGCTGTCAATACCGATCCCACCATGGTTGGACTTGGAATTCAAAACCACAAACGTTAATAAAGGAAAATCATAGAATAGAAAAAGCACAGGCCATTATAAGCTAAACTAAAACGTAAAAACCACCCTTTTGAATTGTGACTTCGTAACCTTGAATCGTGATTATCCACCAATTGCAAGCTAAAGAGCAAAAAATATGAAGGGCCGTTGCATATCAACGGACTTTGTTATTTTCGAACTACTTCTCAATATCCAATCCAAAAGATGAAAACTTTAACCAAAAACAATGATTACTGAGAAAACTGACATCAACAAAAGCATTCCTCTCCCGAAACCCTAACCTTCAGACTATAGTAAAAAAAAAAACAGAGGTAAGAGATGAGCCTCAAGGAATTAGTGAAATAAACTGAAAACAAGCAAATAAGCACAATTAATAAAAAGAGAAAAACCAATCTTTGGAAAAGAAAAAAAAAGACGGACAGGACTGACAGACCGAATAAATAAAAAGAAAACATAGAATCACTTGGTCTATGGAAATAAATTAAAAGGGAGCAACAAAAAAAATAAAAAAGGCAAGCTTGTTGTTGATGGTGGTTAGACTTACCACAGTAGCCCTTTCTTTGAGCTTGGGTTTCCTTCCCATAGTATTTCTCTCACATGCAAAATGCTTTGGAGATTAGGGCTTAGATGACTGTAAAAGAAGTTCCTGCCTGTTTAGTTCTCGGACACTTCTCTTATCACCTTTTGTATGTTTATTTATTTATTATTTATTATTATTTTGAGTTCATGTCTTTTTGAATTCTAGGCTCCGTTTGTTTGGCGAAACCAACTTTTATAGAAAAATCAATTCTTGAGAAAGTTATTTTTCAAAAAATTATTTTTCAAAAAAATATTTTCTGCCATTTAACAATTATATGAAAAAACTACTGAAAAATATATTTCAACGTTTGTTTGATACAAATAAACAAAAATAAAAAATAATATATGATTGTTACATCAATAAATTTCGAAAAAACTTCAAAAAGTCATATTCATAATTTCACAATATAAGATACATTTAGAAAAATTGAATAAATTTTCATAAATATTGACTTTAAAATTTTAATTCAAAGAAATAAAATGTACTTTTTGAACCATCAAATCAATTCATTAAAATTACTTGACACAAAATCAAGTTAATATTCACATTTAGTTAAATAATAATAATAATAAGTAATCTTAGCATTGTTATTTTGGTAACTTAATTATAAAAAAAATTAAAAAAATTGAACTGATAATTTAGTATAAAAAATAATTTTATAAATTATTAGTTATCATTTGTATAACATTATTCATTTGGTTTCAAAATATTAATGTTAGAATAATTTGTAACTAATTATTCACTATAATTACCAATAAAATTTTACAACTTATTAAATTACAAATTATTGTTTTAGTTGCAAATGAATAGAGTTAGAAAAGTAACGTATTTATTAATGAATTAATTAATTTTAATTTTTTTACAAAAAATTACAGTCTTGTAATAATTTTTTTCAATCATTTAAGTATAGTGTAAGTGGTGTTTGAGATATTAATAAAAAAATAAAGATAAATTATTGAAATATTTATTATAAAAATAATTTTAAAGTGTAAATATGGCTTTTAAGAACATTTCATATATCTATAAATCAAAAAGACAAATATTAGTAGAAATAGAGAAAAAATAATAAATAATAATTGATAAGAAATAATTAAAAATTAATTTGATATATTTTAAATAAAAAAAGAAAAAAAATTGTTAAAATATATCAAGAGAGAAATAAGTAATGCGAGAACGAGACAATCTCATGAGAAGAAATAGTTTCCTCTTTTTAAACTAGGAAAAAAAATTAAAAAAATACTCTATCATTTGTTATTGATAAAAAATTATTTTTCATTAACTATTTTTTAAAACACAAAATAAATATCGAAAAAAAAAAAAAAACTTGTTCTCTTCAGACGAACACAGCCTTAATGTGAAAAAGCAACAAAGGTGCTAGCCTTGCCTGTCTTGGTACCCTGACTCACTCCGTACGGGTTTATTGATGTGATGGCTTTGATTAAATTTATTTATTTATTTTTAAGAAAAGGAGACAGTGTACCTGTAATGTTTAAGTAATTACAAATTAATTAATCAGTTTTTATTTTAAAACAGGTTATTCAATTTTTATATTTTTTAATTTTCTTATAAATTAATCATTTTTATTTTATTATTTTAAATAAATAAATAAATAAGAGTAAAAAATATAGAATGATTAATGAAAAAAAGACATTTTATGAAATAAAATAATATTAAATTAATCATCATCAATACTAATCAAAAAATTAAATAATTAGTTTTTGAAATACAAAAAATTAATTTTTTAATTTTTTTTAAACAAAAGGATTAGTTTATATATTGCACTGTAATGTTTTTAAATTCACGAAGTATATTTCTAATAAAAAAAGTGGTTTCTCCACATTTGTTATTTCTACAGCTTGTTTTTTGACCATTACGAATACACCTTTTGATTAACTTTTGTTATTATATGATGGTTAAATATATTTTATATCAAATCCTTAAAATATCTAAAATTTAAATGTACATGAAAATTAAAAAATGAAAATATTGATGGACTTTTTAAATATTTAACAAATATTGATGATAGAGTATGTTGATGATTTAAAAAAAAATAAGCCGTAAAAATAATAAATTTGATAATTAATTTAGCAGTATTCCTAAAATATGTGTGTGTGTGAACTATTAAGATACAACTTATTGCAGGCGTTTACTGTTCATGATTATTTATGGTTTTTCCTTCCAAAGAATTTAATAGTTTTTTCTCTTGTTATCTATAAAATAATAATAATAATATATAGTGTTTTTTTTTCTTTTTTACTGTCTTAGATTACAAAAAATGGGAGGCATTATGGACGCATTTTCATGTCTATTGGTACGGTATCTTTTAAGTGTATTGTCAGATTTTCCTTTAAATCTTCTAATAATTAATGATTCTGTTAGAAAAAACCTAAATTGGATGACAACTAAAAGATTTATAAGGAAATTTAAACTGAGGAAAAGAAAGGAAACGCAAAGAAGAGAAATCACCGATGGAAAAGAAGAGAAATTTTGTTTGGTCCAAGGTAAAGGGAGGGGTATTGTAGACTCGAAAAAATCGATAAGCAAAGTCAATGTAGAATAAAATTTTATAGTTTTATTTGTTTGTATGTATACTGATGCAATAGAAAGGAAAATAAATAATATTATATTTTTATTATTATTTTATCTTTTTTATGGTAAAAAAGAAAAGGAAAAAAAAAAAAACAGAGGCTAAACACCAAATAACTAGAAACTAGGCAGAGACTTGATGGAGGAGCTAGCCCCGATAACTTCAAGTATTTTTTTTTAAATAAGGTATTTTAAAATTTTTATTCTCAAAATAGTATAGTTTTAATTTTATTTGTGATAGAATATTTTATGTCATATAGACTTCATCATTTGTACATATCATTAAAATATATATTTTAAAATTTCTTATTTGGTGACATGAACTATATCATAGAGCTAAGGTGACATGAACTATCCTCTTATAGTTAATAAGATTAAAACTATTCTATCATGAGAATAAAAATTTTAAAGTATTCTATTTCAAAAAAAAAAAACTCTGATAAAATTAACGTTTAACTAGAGTGTCATAAGGATATTTTGGGAAAACTGATGCCAGTTTTTAAAATTTTTCTTCTTTCATCCAGATTTGGCGGGAAATCTTTTATGAACCAATAATTAAATTTAGATATTTTTACCCCCACTTTTCCCTTTCTTTCCTTTTCTTTTTTATTGTTAATTCTAGGATCCAAACATAGAGAATTGGTTTAATTTAATTTTAAAAAATTTAAAAGTGAGACCTTTTTTTTATCAAGTGAAGAGCGCTACCTAAAAATAGAATTGTTTTTCACACGATAATATCTACAAAGTTGCTTTTTCATAGCAAATGATAGTTTGTAATGGTGTTCTTTTTTTCTTTTCTTTTTTTCCCTGGGATTCTATAGCTCCTTCAATGTTAAAAAAAAAAAACAATTTCGTTCATTGACATAAAATTGTTTGGATGGTATTATTCTCACTTCATATTTTGCCAGTTATAACTTACAACCTACTTTAGATATATTAAAATAACCTCAATTAGATTTTTCACACGTTATGATATTGAAATTCGAGTACTCTAATTATAAAAAAGAAACACTTTTTATTTTTAACCATATTTCCTTGTTATAAATGCAATACCAATAATCATTTTTATCTTATTATTATTATTATTATTATTATTATTATTACCACCTGTCTCCAACATTAATTTCGTTGAAAAAAAAAACAATTTGATTGCACTGCTTCTTTTTTTTGTTCTATAATTTTTGTGTTATCCAAATCACAAATAAAATATTTATTGTAAAAAAAATATAATAGAATAATTAATTTTTATGTGCAGTAATTAAAAATTTGAAAACTTCAATTTTTATATATTTCTCGTGTTTTAATTTAATTAATTTGAAATTTTTAATAGCTACAAAGTAATATTTCACTGAAATTTGATTTATTGAAAATAATGCCCCACGTTTATATTAAAGATAAGGACTGGTTTAGCATGTTGATAAAACTTATAATTAATGTGGAGCGGAAATAATATTTCATGGAGTGAGAATAACGCCATCTTTTTTCATTAAAAATGTAAGTAATAGTTTGTAAATATTACAATTGTAAAAATAAATAGTTAAGATATGAAATAATAAAATAAACCATACATGGATCTACTAATTACCACTTTCGTGGAGCTATTGACGTGACATGCGACCTTGCTGCTCATTGTAGCATACATGCTGACGACATGCAACGTGCTTAACTTATATTATCTAACCGGTTTTTTTGCACTACCCTGGCGATTGAATATAACAAAATTAGTTTATAATTTTTTAATTATTTATTTATTTTTTATGGTTTTCATAAATTTTTATTTAAAAAAACGATTCATTTTTTATACATTGATTTTTAAATAAAAATTTATAATAATTTAAATTGAAATATTAATATAGAATTAAAGAAAATAAACTTTAAAAATGTATTTTTCATAAAATTGTATAAAAAGAGTAAAGCTACAATTCATGTATAATTTTTTATTAAAAAATAATAAATAAAAAGTAAAATTTTATTCTTATCCGATGAAATTTTTTTGAAAGTATATACATTTAATATATATATATATATATAAAATAATTAATAATATTAAAATAAAAAACTGTATTTGAATCTTTTGATGATTCTTTCAAAAAATTGTTTCAATCATTTTATTTTTAAAAAAATTGGTTTTATAGTATGAAAAAAATAATAGCAAATGGTTAATGTTATGTATATAGATGTATAGTTAATTTTCAATAAAATCGATGATTTAATATTTTTCATACATCATGATTATACTAAGTGAGTTGAGAGCATACAGTATAAAGTGACAAAAATTCAAAAATATTTGTTCTTTCATAATTTTTCCTAAGAATCAATAAAAATATAATTATTGAAAAAAAAAAAAAAAGACTAGAGGCAAGCTTGAGCTCGTTTGGGCTTGGTTCAAGGCCGATGCAAGCCAAACCCAAGCAAAAAACTCAAACTATGGTTCATTAGAAACTTCATTGGCAAGTCGAGGGTAAAGTTTTCGGCCTTTCCAAACCCAAATTCAGCCCCCTACCCCCTACCTTAAAACACTCTTAAAATCACATAAATAATATTAAAAAACTCGTTTTGAATCTCAAAACTTATTTTAATATACATAAAACACACACACACACACACACACACACATATTCAAATCAAAATAAAAAACTTAAAATATTTTGAGCTTTAAATTTATTTTGTCTTATCATTTCATAACTTGTAACAATTATAAACGGATTCTACTTTTGGAAAAAAACAAAATGACAGTGAAGTCGATGTCTGAGATGATCAGAATGGGCCTTGTTGTCCCTCTCTCTCTCTCTCTCTCTCTCATTTTTCCCTCCTCCAAACTATCATAGACCAAAATGCAAAATGAATAAAGTTTGAAGTGGAAACAAAAGTTTCTTAAAGATAAGGTATCAAAGTGTAAATTTTTTACAAACTTATTGCAAACAATAAAATGCGTAGTGAAATCAAGAAAAAGATTAGAAATTTTAATTACATCCCTTTGAATTATGATATTCACTTTAAAAATCTTCTATATTTTTTTATGTAATTGAATTTTAATGAAATTCAAGTATCCTGATTTTAGGAGAATATTTTATTTATGAAGAAAAATTTTGAAGCTGAATACAAACTTCTTCATCTAGTAAAACTTGGTGTTATATTAACTTTTTGCAATATTTTTTATCACAGTATTTTAAAAACATAAACTCATGCAAAATACATCTAAAAAATATTGTAAGGGTGTGTAAAAATAAGAATTAATAATAGAGAATTAAAAAAAGTTGAAATACATTAAAAACACACCAAAAAGGGCTAGGCTGTGCTAAGCCCAGGCGACGAAACGTCTGGCCCATACGTGCGTACCAAGGCTAGGGGTGCTTCTTAGAGGAAAAACAATAAAAGAGATCGAGAATCATGAGACGACACGTCATCTACTAGTGAATGAGGCGTCTTTTTATGTGATAAAAGGATGGTTAGAAAATCGAGGGCCTCCTCTTTGGCTTTCAAAACCCATTGTGTTCATCATTTTTCCCTCTAAATATCTCAAATCATCATAGAAAACTCTTAAAGATTCATTTATTAAGTCAAAACGCAGTTTAATAAATTAAAATTGCTTAAAAAACCAAATCAAATGCAAAAATGTCTATTTATTTTATCAGGATCTGATCTACTTTTATCTACCATATCAAGATCTATAAACACCATTGATAAACTTCTTTTGTCGTGAAGAATTCACCGACATCAATTTTGACAATTGTCATGAACTAAATATTAGCGGACGTTGTTTTTCTTTCCTCCATCTCGTTGGAACGTCTGAGGATAGTATTGCAAGACAAATGAAATCGAAAGACCGGTCCACATAAACTTCAAAAGCATGGAATAGAATAAATGTATTTTCAAAAAATCAATTGGATGATTAACAAAAAAAATTAAAATAAAATGATGAATTACTATTTATTGTGCTATTTGCAATACTGTTTATCTAGACTTATTCACAATATTCTCTAAGACTCGAGATGTATTATTTTTTTCACTATGTAGTAATATTTTTGTAGTTTCAAATATTTAAAAAATATTTATTATGAAAATTTTCACGATATGATACTTTGATTTTTTTAAAAATATTATTTTTTTAGTCCTTAAATATTTTTTTTCATTTTTTATCACTTTGATCTTTTTTTTCTCTGTTTTTTAATTAAAAATTCTAAGATAAAAAATTATTTAGAAAAAATAATTCACAAAATAAGTTTTTAGTTAAGAATCCATGGATTTTGACATTTTTATACTATTATAAATTTTTTAGTTTGTGGATAAAAATAAATAAATAATATTTCAAAAATTTATGAAAAATATAAAGAATAATAAGTCAAATCCAAAATTTTGATTAAAAAATTATAAAATTAAACGAATTTTTATTCAGTTTTGGTTTGATATATTTTGACATGTGCACAATATAACACGGAACATCAAGCTAAAATAATTTTATATGTTCTATTTAATTCACAAGTGTAGCGCATGTGAAAAAATTAGTATATTCTAAACAAAAAAAGATATATTAATAACGCAATTGATTTTATTTTTTGAATTTTATTTCTTTTTTTAACTCAATTTAAAAAAATATATACATATGAATGCTAACAAATGTATCAGATATGAAGTGGTTTTGGGATGCATTTGATATATTTAATTAATATATTTTTTCAAAAAATCTTTAATTAATACAATTTATTTTTTAATTGAATAGAAAATTTATTTCTTTTTTTTTAACTCGAATTTTAAAAAAATATAAAAATGAATGCTAATAACTATATTAGATATTACGTGATAAATGTTCAAAAAATCTGGTATAAATAAATAAATCTTACAAAATTTTCATATCAATACACTGTGACCGTTATTATTATTATTATTTTTTTTTTATGAAAACTAATCATTTAAACTCATAAAATTCATACTTTCCTCCTTGAAGATTGACATATCAATTTGTTTGGAAATTTGACGAGACAACAATTGTAATGCTATGTAACTTTTTGATCACTTTTTTTTTGCATTTTTTTCTATTTTAATGTTTAATTTAATCCCTCAATTTCTACAATGCTAACTTAACTATCCTACATGTTTAATTTTCCCTTTATGCTTCTGCATAAACAGATTTGAATTGCACAGAACAGTCCTATTTATCTTGGTGTAAAGTAGAACTATGATTTAAGATTAAAAAAAGAACAGACATAGTAAATGATATTGCAACATTTTAAATAGTTGATGGGTAAAATGGTTGAAGTTAGAACACAATGAAATGGTAAATTAGAGGACATATATGTAAAAATAAAAAATAAAAAAAAAAAAAAAAAATAAAAAAATCAAAGAGTAAATTAGAGGACATATATGTAAAAAAATAAAATCAAAGAGTAAATTGAAATATCATATTTAATTAGAGACGTATATGTAACTTTTACCAGAACTAAACATCAAGACAAGGGCAGTAGTATGATTAAGGTCGTTGAAGCTTTGTTTTCAAACTTTCAGGAGTCACTCCTTTCCTTGCGCACAAGCAGATAAGATACTAGAGATAAGCCTCTTTCGTCTTCTCATTCCGGTCTCACACAATTCAATTTCACCTTCTTTGTCCCTCCTTTCTCCTCCATGATACCTCTCCTTTCCCTCCACTCCCCAACGCCCTCACTTTTCCTCACCCATTTCCCTCCTCCCCCTTCCACTACTCTTCCTCGCTTCAAATCCCCTCCTCACCGAACCCATCATTTCCCTATCCACTCTTTCCCAAACAACCAACAACAGCGACAGCCTGCCAATCAAAAGCAAGAACAACCGAGAACCCTTTTCCCTGGCGGTTATAAACGCCCCGAAATTAAAGTCCCCAACATCGTCCTCCAGCTGGACGCGGAGGACATCCTTCGTGGCGGAAGTGAGGCGTTGGATTTGATTGATAAGGCTGTGTCTAAGTCGGTTGGGATTGTGGTCCTCAATGGCAGTAGCAGCAGTGATGGTGGTGGCAGCGGGAAGAGCCTTTATGAGGCGGCCTGTTTGGTGAAGTCAGTGGTGAGAGATCGTGCTTATTTGTTGATTGGAGAACGTGTCGATATAGCTGCTGCTATTAATGCTAGTGGTGTTGTGCTGTCTGATCAAGGTATCTCTTGCTTCATTTATCCATTTTAAGTTTGGTCTCTATAATTCTTTTTTCCTTTTTTGTTGCTCTAATTGGGCTTAATTTCGTTCTTTGTATTTGTTTTAAGTTAGTATTTAAAGGTGAATCAGTAGTTGAAGTGGATTTTGTAGAGAATTTTGTTCATTCTGGTTAACATGTATTAGTAAATAATTCAGGCGTGCAAGGGTAATGTGTTTCTTTGTTATTTTACAGGGCTTCCTGCCATTGTAGCAAGAGATATGATGATGGGTTCCCAATCTGAATCAGTTGTTCTACCTTTGGTAGCCAGAATTGTGCAGACACCAAACGCTGCATTAAATGCGTCAAATTCTGAAGGTGCTGATTTTCTTATATATGATCTTGGCCCAGAGAAAGATTTTGATGTAGAAATGAGCTCTGGATTTGGGAATGTGAAGATACCAATCTTTGTCCTTTGTGCTTCATGTGGGGAGGCCAAATTGTCGATGGAGGCATCAAAATTTCTCAAATCTGGTGCTAGTGGTTTAGTTCTGTCATTCGAAGATTTAAGGTTATTTAGCAATGATGCTTTGAGTCAAATGTTTGACACTGCGAGTGCAACAGATAAAAAATCTCAGGATGAGCTCGAAAGCTTCAGTAAGCTCAAATCATTGGATATGGAAAAAGGTATCCTTGAGAAAACAATGGTGGCAGGCTTTGTTAAGCTGGAGGATAGAGAAAAACAGCTCATAGAAAAAGAGAAATCAATATTGCTTGAGGCTATTGATGTTATCCAGGAAGCTACTCCTCTGGTGATCTTTTATTTAAAAATTTGGTATTTGGATTTGTTCATGTGATAATTCTACATTTTTGTTGATTCTTTTTTGTGCTTTCAAGCTTGAATGAGGGTTTTGGCTTTAAATGACAGATGGGGGAGCTTTCACTTCTCATTGATGCGGTTTCTCAGATCGATGAGCCATTTTTACTGGCTATAGTGGTAATTGTGTGCTGAACTTCAACAAATTCTGGTTCCAGGATGTACATTGGTATTAGCTCTACATTTTTTTAATAAATCCTTTCTTATTTACTCGAAAAGATCTAGAATTAAAATGGCCTTCAATAATTTTCTTTTAGTTTTTGTCTTACTTCTGAATAAAGAAAAAAATCGTGTCAAGTTTATGCCTTTTTTGTATGTTGCATGAAATCAGAACATGGTTTCATTTTTCAGGATTTCCTTTTTTTTCCAAATAATTCCATGAACAAGCTGTCTAAACAGTTGCATTTTGGCCTTTAGGTGTTAGCCTCATTTTTCTTCCATACCTTGTTCACTCAAATCCTGGGTTATCATGACTTTCATACTTTCTAAGGATCCATTTCTTGTTCTTATTTCTTCTCAATCCTACCCCTTATCTAGGTTGGACCTAACATTAGTAAGTGCAAATGATGCTCTAAACCCTTCCAACGAAAGGCATTGGCATTCTTTGCTTTTGCTTCCCTTGATATTTCTCTTTATGTGTTTTTTTTTTTTTTTGAAACGTTATTTTGCAACGAACCTAGATGATGTTGTTATCGTGTAAAGAATATTGAGATTCATATAGAGATTGGTTAGTTTTTTCTGCCATTATTTTTATAAACATGCTGTCAAAGGTTTTTGTTGTCACATGACTGTTTGTCCTTATTGGTATTATCCAGGGTGAGTTTAACTCCGGGAAATCAACTGTTATTAATGCACTTCTTGGAAAAAGATACCTTAATGAGGGTGTTGTTCCTACAACAAATGAAATCACTTTCTTACGCTACTCTAAGAGCAATTCTGAAGAGCAACAAAGCTGTGAAAGGCATCCAGATGGTCAATATATATGCTACCTTGCGGCTCCGATTCTTAAAGAAGTAAGTCTTTTCATTTTTTATCTCACGTGTTCTCTTGAATTCAGTTCTGAGATGTTCTATACAAATGCCTACTTGGATCATCTTGTTTATATCTGATTGCAAGGTTTCAAGGTATTTTATGCATAGGGATATATAGGCAGAACTACCTCTTTTCAGCACAAAAGCATGAATGGCTGTGTTTGTAGTTGGTTTAGTTAACATTCAGCTGCAACATCCTTTTTCAATGTGAACTTTTTTGGATGTGCATAACCTTATAAGAAGTCTACATAGTGCAATTTCTGCTACATTTGCACATGTAGATTTTTACTTTTACAACATGATATTTTCTTTCATGCTGAATTGCACTTTCAATAAACATTTCCACAATTTAACTTGGAGTATTGCTAAAACCCCCAAGAGCTGGAGCCTAAATGGTTTCCCTGAATCACTCCTACCTTTGATTGGTGAGTTCCACCCGCCAATTAAACAGTGGGAATGATTCAGGGAACCATTCTGGCTCGTTTTACTCTTAGGTTTGATTAGTATGCAATTCACATTTTCCCCCTTAAATGCGAGGCAAAGTTCATGGTTAGCTTTCCCCGGTAGGATGCCACAAAACAGTAATCTTCCTAAAAAGAAGCTCAGTAATCTTTAAAACGTAGATGTTTGAGTCACCTCAAGAGAATTTTGAAGATGGGGAAAGTCACCTGATCTAGACCAGTTGCCAAATGCACCCAAAAGATAAGGAAATAACCACATTCTTCATAGAAGAAGAGAAGTATTTTGGCTTGACAACACTGATGGCAGAAGGGAAGTTGGTCCACATTATAGTGAGAGGGAACCTAGAGAAGTCAAAAGCATTCAATCATACATCTTTGTTAGTTCAGTCACTCTGTTTTAGAAAGTGCATAATTTCTTAAAATAGATAATATTCCAAGCCACAGTAATTACATCATATTAATATTCCATTTCATGAACTGCTTCTAAAAAATCCACTTCATGCTAATAGCTGCTTTGGATGTTGTAACTAATGCATTTAATTTGTTCATTTCTTTCTTAAACAGATGAATATTGTTGATACACCAGGGACTAATGTCATTCTCCAAAGGCAACAGCGTCTTACTGAAGAATTTGTGCCTCGTGCAGATTTGCTTCTTTTTGTTATTTCCGCTGACAGGCCATTAACTGAAAGTGAGGTATGCATGATTGTTAATGTCACATAACAATCTATGATGTTGTATAGTTCTGAAACACAGTGGATTTGAATGCCCTGGCCCATGGGTAAGCCTTCAGTGTTACATTCTATACTTGACTGTCTAGGGGAAAATTTTCTTAAGAAATGCATTACTGAAAAACTGCATCTTTGACTCATTGATGCCATCCAAATAAGATTGAACTGCATTGAGGTTTTGTTGAAGGTACCTCCATGAATTTTGCAGAGAAAAATTCCTAGCATAAAAGTGACCTGGATGAATATAAATCCAAACAAATTGCTCCAACTTTGGCACGTGCATACGACTATAAGTATATGGTCTTGAGAGACCCTTGTTTTGGACTTTTAAATTTTTAGTGTTTAAAGTATCTCAACCAGTGACTTGCTGTTTCCAAAAGTAATTTTGGTCTCACTCCTGATATTATTTCCAGGTTGCTTTTCTTCGTTACACTCAACAGTGGAAGAAGAAGGTTGTTTTTGTGTTAAATAAATCTGACATCTATCGGAATTCTAGTGAGGTAAATTATAAACTTTTTTTTCATATTATTTATCAGTATTTTTTGTTACTTGCACTATTCAAGCTACTTACAAAAGGTTACTTCTGTTTCTGTGATTTTTATGTAGCTTGAGGAAGCTATCTTGTTCATTAAGGAGAATACAAGGAAATTGCTGAACACTGATGATGTTATATTATACCCTGTATCTGCTAGGTCTGCTCTTGAAGCAAAACTGTCAGCTGCTTCTGACATTGGGAAAGATTGCACAGAATTATCAGCTTCAGAACATCATTTGAAAATCACTAGGTTCTACGAATTTGAACAGTTCTTGTATAGTTTTTTAGATGCCTCAACAACAACAGGAATGGAAAGAATAAGGCTTAAACTTGAAACCCCAATTGCTATTGCTGAACGTCTACTTTCTTCTTGTGAAACTCGAGTGAAACAAGATTGCCAACACGCCAAGCAGGATCTAACCACTGCAACAGAAATAATTGATAGTGTGAAAGAGTATGCGATAAAGATGGAAAACGAGAGCATCTCTTGGAGAAGAAAAACTATGTCACTGGTAAGTTTTCCAAAGAAGATGTGTACAGCCCACTAACAGACCAAATCACTCTATTGAATTAGATGTAAATTAGTGGTAATTTTTTATGAAATCATATCAGTTTATGTGCTGTACTGATGGGTGAAATTGCAGATTGATGTGACACAATCTCGTGTTTTGGAGATCATAGAATCAACCCTTCAATTATCGAATCTTGATCTTGTTGCTTCATATATATTCCGAGGCGAAAAGTCTGCTGAAATGCCAGCCACGTTAAAGATTCAAAACGATATAATTGGACCTGCTTTAACAGATGCACAAGTGAGATGATGGTTCTTACCTTTTTAGGAACTGCATTGACAATGCTTTATATTTGTTGCTATGCTATATATTGACAAACATGTAATTATCTTTCATCAAATCATTTTTTCCTCTTTATTGCTTTGGAAAGCTTAAAATAATTGTTATATAGCCACGTGGGTCTTTCAGTTGATTCTTAGTCTTAGGGTTGCCTGCATGGGAGTTTGCATATCTTAGTGCTTTATTTTAAGATGCAACCAAACCTTTTTTTTCCTTTAATATTTCTTCTGTACCTTTGGTGACTGAATATCCTTCAGAGTTCTTTGGTTTTGATTGCTCACTTTCTGTTTCTTGTTTTTTGGCATACAGAAATTGCTTGGAGAATACGCGATATGGTTACAATCAAATAGTGCTCGTGGAGGAAAACTATACAAAGAATCATTTGAAAAGCAATGGACTTCAATTGCCAATCCAACCTCCCAGATGCATTTAGAGACCCATGATTTGCCGAAACAAGTTGACCTCAGCACAAGAGTGATAGAGAACTTCAGTGCTGGGGCCACATCCAAGCTATTTGAAAAACAAATACGCGAAGTGGTTAGTTCTCATTTTACATGGTGATGTGTCAAATTTTCTTAAGTTGCTTTTAGAAAAGTTTATAACCTTGTTGAGCAAAAGCTGGCATCAATAACAAATTAACCAGTCTGATATAGTCTTTGTCAAGACATATATATAGTAGAATGTTTATGAAGATTCATGTTCACGTTGGTTTTTAAGGAGACATTCGTTTTAAGTAAAATATTTTTCAGGAAATTTTTTTTGTGATTTTCTTGTGTTTGTTTATCGTAAAATATTTTACAGGAAAACTGGTCAACATCAAATATGTTACAGTCAACATTTAAACTTAGTTAATTTGTTCAAAAATATTTTCAGCTCATGAAGTTCCGTAAAATATTTTACAGAAAGTAATTCACTCAAAATACCATCCAACTATTTCAACCACGAACATCGTCGTCACTGCCACCACCACCATCATCACCCTGGCACCATTGCTGCAGCCCTATCACTGCCACCGCCTCCACCATAACCATAACCAACAGGTCACCATCACAACCACAACATGTCATCATCATTCGACTACCACCATCTTTTTCCAGTCATTACTTACCAAACTTTGTAAACTTTTTCCATGTACAACATTTTACAGGAAAACATTTTTACATGTAAAATATTCTTCATTTGTAAAATGTTTTATGCAAAACAAACACCCCTTAAATTTTTATTTTGTTTAACCAGAAACAAATTTCCTGCTAACAAACATTTAAAACTTTTGTGGTATGAGAGATGGATAGCACTTCATTTTTTCTGTTTTCTATAACTTATTTTGCGTGAGTGCAGAATCTGGTGTGCGCTGATGTACTGTTGGATTCTTAGAAAGGTGGAGCCTTGCTCTAAGTAACAAAATTGTCTGCCAGCAATTTATGAATGACACATTATAGCCCGAGTAGTTTCTGGTGGTATTAGTGGTACCTTGTGCACAAAATTATCTGGAAGCAATTTCAGAATGACACCTTATAGCCTGAGTAATTTCTGGTGGCATTATGTGTTATAATAATATAAAAGCCATAGGCACGTATGCGGAAAAAATAAAAAACAATGAATAGAAGGTAAAAAGGCATAGAAGAAATGGTTCTGCCTTCAATTCTTTTGTGAACTGAAGTATCATCACTTTTATGCTATTTCAATGATATTCTCATAACTTTTATCTTAAATGCAGTGACATTTTTTGTCCAAGAAGTGCCATTTTCATTTTAGTCGATTTGTTCATCATGTCTGAGGTCAAATGTTTTCTCTTTGGTCTTAGTTCTTGGGTACTTTTGGCGGACTAGGAGCTGCTGGTTTATCTGCATCGCTTCTGACATCAGTACTGCCTACGACTTTAGAAGATCTTCTTGCTCTTGGCCTTTGTTCTGCTGGAGGGTAAGGTTTCTGCCTGCATTTCTTTCTGTTTTCTTGTCCTTATTGCTAAGGTGTATTTGCAAATGTTTTCTGTTTGTGCAGTATTTGCATGATTAATATCCTTAAATTCTATGAAGACATCATTCCATCTTGACATATTTTCTGGCTTATAGCCCTAGATTTTGAACTTGAATGGCAAGTTCTTCATATTTTCACTCTGCTCTTGTTTCCATGAGTCCTCGTATTCTAGATCTGTATCAAGTTACCATCACACAGTTCTTGTTATGTTCTTTTCCTATAATGATATCTTTGAATACCATTCCACATTTCAAACATGCAATAAGGTTTGATATCTGATTGAACCTTCGCTTTATAATAGGTTCATAGCAATTTCAACTTTCCCAGCCCGTAGGCAAGCCATTGCAGACAAGGTAAACAGGATTGCAGATGGCCTTGCACGTGAAGTTGAAGAGGCTATGCAGAAGGATCTCATGGAAACTGTTGGAAATTTGGAAAACTTTGTAAAAACTATTGGCAAGCCTTATCAAGATGCAGCACAAGAAAGACTGGACAGACTTTTAGATCTTCAAGAAGAACTATCAAATGTTGATAAAAAACTTAGAACATTGCGCATTGAAATACAGAACGTTCATGTATCATGATACCATGGTTAAGTTTAGACTTCATCATTTACTATTTTTCCCTCTGATTCTTTTTGTGAAGCTTTGATATGAATGAATAAGAAGTTAAGAACACCATTTAGTGAATCCGCGTTAACAATCATGACCGTTTATGGATTGTTAATTGAAAGCTGTTGAGGGATGTGAAATGTGGAACCTGAATTGTGCTGATCCTTTACCTGATGCAATGCATCGAATGGATGTTACCATGTGAAAGTCAGATCAGCAGCTGGTTGCCCTTCACCTAATTCATTGAGTACAGAAAGCAATTGGCAGATTCTTTTGTGCTTTCACAATCACATTGTTTGAGATGCGGTGCATCAGCCATCCCCAATGAAATATCTTGAGGTATCAAAAGAATTACTATCATATTTCCACATATAGCAATGGGAATCTATCATAGCTGTTCTATTCTGTTTATTTTTTGTTGGTGGACCATGATTTTTCTCAAGAGCTTGGCTAACTTCTGATTTTTACCCTTCTGTTAAATATTAAAACGCACTGCCTGCTTGTATTGAGAAACCTCAACATCAGCTTCTCATCAGAAGTTAGAAAAAATAGATGAAAAGTGGTATGTTCCTGGAAATGTTTAATCAGGTATGACGACAGTGTGTGTCAACAACAATATCTACGTACCGACCATCCATAAAGTTTGTCGTCGGCTTCTTATATTGATTTTTTGCGATTAACAAATGTACCAACCATTGGTTTCTTGACATCTCTGCAGACTTTGCGTGCGATTCTTCTTTTTGAAAATTTCCAAGGGACACTAGCCTGATCACTGGAAGGAAGAAAAGGCGCTACTACTATAATGGTCAAAAGGTATGAGAGTGCGCCCCTTTGTTGACAAGCATGTTTATATATATATTATTATGCCATGAATTTGATTCCTCATTGTCTTTCTTTGTAAACATCTTAGTGATGTAGAAATGGACAAATAGAGATGCATATTTAACAATGCTAAATAAACAATCAGAGGCACATTAGGTCTTTCGTGCATCTGGGACCAAGGCGATAGGGAGACATCATGATTATATAGGGCCTTTTGCCTTTAGTTTACGAGGGTCGATCCTTTACTTTGCCCAATCTAAAACAAAAGCAAAGCAGTACTAAAAGATGGATTGCGAAAGCAAATTTGATGGCTGGGAGCCTGGGACTAAGAGAGAGTATGTAAATGGCACATATTCGTTTATCAAGCTCACGGCCATGCCTATAACACAGTGGACTCCTTTTCTTGGATTCAGAGAATGAAAAAGGCTTTGTTTAGGACCACCAGTAAATACTAATCCCTAAGCTTCTCCCATTCATGCTAATAGGTTCGGTATCTAGCCTTGCACAATTGGAAACCTCTTTTAATTCCTTCATTCAAAAATCTGGGCAAATTAGTTGACTATAAAAATAAAAAATAAAAATAAATAATTGCATGCATGGTTCAATATCTCAACAATGTAACCGATTTAGAACATTTCATAATCTCAGTCGTCATGAGTCATGACATTTGGCCGTTTGTTAGATCAGGGTGACGAAATTAGCAAGTATTCATTTCTCTAGCCTAAGAAGCATATAAATTAAAATTTATGGAGTCATCACTTTCACCTTTAAATTATCAGTTCTCTTAACAGGGAAAAAAGTGTAGTCAAATTGCATGCTGCAACAATGGAAGGTTTTGGCTTTTCAAGGGAAAATTTATATACGGAGACCAAACAAAAAAGAATAGGAGCTCCTGCAAATAATTCCATTATTAGAAAAAGTATAGGTCACTATGTGTGTCCTTAAATGCCCTCGGTTTTTGTCTCTTCGATTGAGGATGGCTTTTGAATAATTATACCATTGCTTGTCAAATCCATCTGCCTTGTGCTTCCGTTACTGGGGAAATTAGACATGATCTATCTTGATCCCTTCAGTCTGTAATGTCTGTGTTTTGCTAATGAAACAAGGCACACTCAGGTTTACGATTTCACTAAGCCGCATTTCATGTTAGAATCATTTTTAGTGGGAAGCAAGTTGGCTACTACTGTCTTGATTATGGTTTTGAATTCTGAAGCATATTAATTAAAATGTCTAGCTGCATTATCATTATTCACTCATTCTAGTTTTTTTTTCTTTTTTCCCTGCTGTAAGAGATTTTTGTAGTCAGCTTGTGCGTTCATTGAGATTATTATTATTATTATTATTATTATTATTTTGAACGATATTAAAGACGTAATATCCACATCGATTTGGTACATTTATAAGAATTTATTAAATTCCTCTAGGTGATATTGTTTCAAAATTTGAATCCGAGAAGTTAAGAAAGAACACAAACTTCCTTAATCATTAAAGCAACCCTTTGGAGTTCCAATTATTGTTATGGTAGTGAATATTCTAGCATTATTGGGCCATTAACTATTTTTATATAATCCTTCCAGCCTATATAGAAAAAAAGAAAGTAGTGGTCTAGCAAATTCAAGAAAGGCTTTCAAAGGAAAGCTAATTAAAGTTAATTTAGCACGGTATGCCTTGTAGTTGATTGCCCGCTTTAAAACTTCCGGAAATTTTGATTTGGCATTTGCCAGGACAGAAATCTCCTGATGTTTCTGCTTTTGGTATGAGATGGTGCTATATTAATTGATACTTAATGATAATTAATGTTATTTACGGGGAGCTATAATAATAACAATAAATTAAAACGATTTAAAATCTCATGAAATTACAATTATTATTCAAAACTTTGAAGATTTGATAATTATTATTCCATTATATTCAAAATGTCTTTAATTTCTATTTTAAAAAATAGTTAAATTCAAAATTAGAAAAAGAAAATAAAAAAAAACTTGAATTAAATTCAATAATGAAATTAATATTATTTATATATTAAAAAATCATGTCCAATTTATTTTTTTTAATTTTTTAAGTATTTAATTTAACTATTTTTTTTTAAATAATTGAGAGTATTTGAAGTACAAGGGGAGGTTTTGTAATGTTTTTCAAATAAGGAAATGATTTTATTTATTTATTTATTTATTTATCGGAAGCACATGGGTTTTTGAACTACATAATGTGGAATAGTTCTCTATCATTATATAATCACTAAAAAAAATTTAGAATCACTAAAATTCGAACTTTGCTTTACTAGAAACTCAAATTTTTAAATTTTTGAACGATCTCTACAATTGAACAATACCTCATGGGAATTATTATTGTAATTTATCCTAGTAGTAATAAATACTGAAATGCATCAATCGTAAAGGCTAAAGAAAAAAGGGAATTAGTGGGAGATTATTTGCTTTTATGAAAATCTCTATGCCAATACAAAAACTTTAGAGGTAAACATGCGCGTCCTTGCAGTCTCTAGCTAGCATCTGCTTAAACAGGCAATGAATGGGCCGATGCAGAGAAAAGTCCTGAATTGCACCTCTGTACGACAGAATAATACTATTTGTGAAATTCAAAGTTTGCATTTTAAGCAAGCATCATGATTAATGGTGATTATTGAAAGAAAAAAGTTTTGAGACAGCTTGCCTTAAAAGGTACGTAGGATTAGTTTAGTGTTTAATTTCTACCAATGGGTTCTTCTCATTAGGTCGGTCGTAATAGAATATTTCACTCAATTAATAGCATTTGAAAAAGGATCATTGCCCTCCTAATTAACTACGTACTTTCATCATCTTCTTCCAAAAAAAAAAAAAAAAATGCATTTGTATATTGGAAGTTTGCAAAAACATCACTTGTCCTCTTGGAAAAGTGAATCCTACTGCTTAATTTTGAGAGAATGGGCAGTAGTCTTATTTCGATGTAGTGGATTAATGCAAGACGGCCGGGTAAGTTCATGACTGATTTTGATGAAGAGCAAACTTAAAAATTAAGAAATTGAAATAAAAATTGTGAATTCAGTACTTCTTTTGATAAAGGACTTGAGGACTCTATTTTATGGGTTTCCTTTTAACAGGACAAAAAACCAATCCTTGTCATGGGTTGACGTGGATACCACCTTAAAACTTGATGTTTATGATAATTGTTTTTTATATGGATAAAGATTACTTTGATATTTTTATATAGTAAATACTAGCCCCATACTCGCATATCGAATATTGATACGGATAAGTCTATTATATCTATGTTTTAATATTTTAAATAATTTAAAAATATAAAAATAAAATAAAAATTAATCAATTTTCATTGTAAAAAAATTGTTTAATTTAATAGATATATAATTGAATTTAAATATATCTTAGGAATATTTTTTATTTTGATAAATAAAAAATACATGCAATTAATTAATTATTTTAAAAAATCAAATTAGAAGGAGGTGTTTAATCAATTTATATTAGAAGAATATTTAATTTTAGTTAATGAATATTTATAAAAATAGAAAAAGTAACCATTAACTATGGAAAAAAATTATTTTGATTAAATCATAAATAATGAAAAAATAACCCAGCTAGCAAAAAAAAAAAATATATATATATATATATAGGGACTTTTTTGTAATATTAATAAATATTAGGTGATATTTTACATAAATTAATAACTTAAAATATCAAAGTGTAAAAAATTAAAAAAATTGATAAAAAAATAACTTATATTTTTTTTTACAAAAACAGCATCATTTTGTGTTTGAAAACCCAAAATAATGTTGTTTTGGTATATAGTATAATAATACACTCTTGAATTTTACATTTGTTTTTAGGGGGGAATATTATTGGACTCTACTCATTGTAATTTTACATACCTACATCAATTTTCACACATCAAATCTAATCCAAAAAATCTTACGGAAGACAAATTATCTATGCGAAAAACTCTATCACAAAATTGAGCATCTTCCTTTTTAACGAGTGATGTGCAGTAGCCACATGTTCTGAGGTTTAGAATCAAAATGTACTCAACGAAAGTGTTGATCATTATTTCATTTTTGTATTTTATGAAAATTAATTAATTATTTTTTGGAGTATTAAAAATAATTTAAGTCCTTAACCTTTGACAGGGGTTGTCAATTTGTTAGTTTTTTTTCCTAATCAGATTTCTGTATCTTAATTACTTCTCTTTCCTTTTTTCTATTTTTCTTAAAATAAAATAAAAATAAATCAAATTAAAAAATAACATGAAATTGAATGAAGGACTGAATTATAAACTTTTTTTTTCAAAAAAAAGAGATAAAATATATAATTTTTTTAAAATTACAGGACCTAATTAATTTGTTAAATTATACAGGCAAAGTTATGATTTACTCCACCGAAAATAGTTGAGATGGATCGGTTATTAAAAACGGGAAACCAACTAAAATCCGCGTCTGGCCGTTCTTAAGTCGAGTGGAGTTCAATCTGGCGGGGTTTCTTCAAGTGTTTAGTTGGTTGGATTGCCCCTAAACTTTTTAGAATAAATTTTTTATCTCTTAAGTTTTCATTTTTCGATGCAGGTCCCTGATGTAATTGCTTTACAAAAACTAAGTCAATCTAGTAGCTGCTAGTAGGAATTCATGAATTTATGATCATCTAATTCACTAAAAATAAAAAAATAAAAAAATCAGTTTTTTATCATGCATTTAAATTAATTTTTTTATATATATGAAAGCTAAAAAAAAAGGGAAAAAAATAACAAACATTCCAAAATATGCTCACATATGTCATTAAAAATCTCAACATCCAACAATCAAAATATGAAATAAAATTTTAAGAGAGAGGATTTATGAAAAGGACCAAGCTTTGATAATCGTGGCATTTTTAATTGAATATAAGTTAAAAAAAAAAAAAAAGTTGTAATAGCCGTGATTTAGGTGGTTACATTCATTTTGGATATCTTCTTTAATTAATTTTTAATTTAGTATTACTTATTTCTTTTAGATTACTATATAAAACATCAATATTACTTATATGATAGAATTTTTATATAAAAAGATAACATAAAGAGTATGAAAAATAATCGATGGTTTGATCTATAGTTTTAGAATCTGGTACCGGAAACAATAATGCATTGGTGATAGGTAAAGAATTACAAAAGAATCAACACCTCTTTAACTCCCATGACGGAAGCGCTTAATTTCCAACTTTGAACGTCGTGGCAAAACTTCAAAAAATCAACAGTCTTTTTTTTTTCTAATTAAATCATTTAATTAATATTATTTTTTTTGTTAGGGGCTTTTATCATTTTGAGAAGTTAGATTTTGAAATAACCTAAGCTAATCTGAGAGCAATCAATCGAACTAAATGCGATTATGAAAAAAATTTGTTAGAGGGACCTACATAATTAAATAAAAACTAAAGTAACTGAGTTTCAGCTGACCAAAAGTTAGGGGCTGTATTGGGACCAATTAGGCTGCCTTCAAATTCAGTGCTTAGCTTTGAATACTACAGTACTCAAACTAGGTTTTGACCCTAAAATATCGACTCACAATAAAATAAGAACGCGACTCCGAAGGCACAAAGTAGAACGGGAAAAGTAAAGGAATCCCAACTTATAAAATATCTGAAAGAATCTTGCGTTTTTGTTTCTGTCGCTCTATTGGTTTCTTTTGGCAGGAAATCGTAATTGGGCAGGAAAGCCTAATGTTCTCTCGCTAATCCAGGAAATTCATATGCATGTTATGTTCTTTCTTTCTTTATTATTATTATTATGGGAGGAATAGGAAATTGGGAATACATCGGTTTTTTTTTTTTTGTCCAGAGTTTGCCCTTTTATTTTGCAAGAAAATCAAAGAGCTACAAATTTATTGGCGAATTCATTTCGTTTTACCCATAATAGAGAGTTTTACATCCATATCTATTTCCACCGTCCTAAAAACTTTCTGGCGTTTTTTTGCCAACCAACCTCTATTTAGTTCATTTTCAGGTTTTTCTTTTTTTGCTTGCTTTCTAAGATTTAGTAGACTACAAAGTTGAATAATTCTAGTGGGCATAAAAAAGTTTTTGTCTCTCCCCTCTCTTTTGCATGAAAGATATACATGAGCGATAAATTTTAAAATACTTAAAAAATAATTATTATATATACAAAATAGTTATTCGATTAATCTATTTTTAAGATGACTGATAAATATATATAAAAAAAACTATATGTGAACCCAAAAAAAACGGTAAGAAAATTTTCATTCAAACTTTTTTTTATTTTCTCTTTCTTATATCTTATTTCTCTTTCTTTTTTATCTATTTTTTTTATAGTGTAACTTAAGTAATATAAAAATTAACTTTATATATATATATATATATATAAAGAATCTGGGATCTCATCCTTTGGCAATAGGTTAGATTAACCATAAAATAGCAACTTAATCCATTCAACATAAAACTCTGGTGAAAATTTGAGATATCATTATATGAATATGATGGGTAATCATTCTTCCACTCACATAAATTATATTAAACTCGTCATTTTATGAGTGTGTCTCATGGTAAGTCTACTCTTATAAAAATTTCTGCTTTTCTGCTTACGTCCCCTCGGTGGTCTATAGAGAAAAAAGAGAGAGAGGGATGATTCCTTTCATAATATTGTAAAATAGTTTGAAACACGGTCACTTTAGTTCTTCCCAACAACTTTTAACAAGTTGTGCCACCCACTTGCTTCCTTCTATAAATTCATGCCCATCCCCCTTCACTTCCCTTTCATGTTCACTCCTCGCTTCTTCTTTCTCTTTTGTAATCTCTCTCTGCCACAAACCCTTATAGATCATCTCCAATCCCACCAAAACCGGGATACGGATTCTGTTTAAAAACCTCTCTTTTTGATCTCCATTTCACTCCCTTGATCCTATAAACATCCAAAATCCTACAATTTCAATAAAGATAACAAAAGCTCCCCTGTTCCTCCCCTGCTATAGCTTATCCATTTCCTCTGTTTTTGACCTTCCACATTTCAAGTGTGAAAAAATGTCCTCCTCAAATTATGGTCCAGGCCTCCAATCATGCCTAGAGCCTGTCTGCCTCGTCGAACCACGTGTTTTGAGGCTCAAATTGGCTCCATCCAAATCCAATGATTCTCGCTCTTCAACAATTGGCCAGCCTTCTGTCACTGACTCAGACTGTGACTTGGAAAGCAACAAAAATGCTGACACGGGTTGCTGGAGTTTCCTCCAGGCCATAGCTAACAATACCTCTCAAACCACCACCAAAGAGAACGATAAAGTCTATTTCCCTCCGAATTATAATCGCTCTCCTTCTATACTCAACGAAAAGAGCTTAGAAATGTGCACTGAGAGCTTGGGGTGCGAAACTGGCAGTGAGGTGAGTGAAAGCAGCGACGAGATGGCTTTCCTTTCATTAGAAAATATGAATTATGAGACTAGCAGGGAAGCAGCAAAATTGCGCGAAACAAGAAGAACGAGTAGAAATGTTACCTTCCCACCTCCTTTGAGCTCGATTAGTGGCTCCTCCAATGTCCGAGTGATGCCTCACCGAGAAGGTGGAAGGCTAGTATTGGAAGCAGTAACGATCTCTTCTTGCCATGCTTATTTACATGCAGAGAGAACCAAGGGTCGTCTTCGGCTACATTTGATGAATCACTGCTCTCCTAATAACTTTGACAACGAAGGGCAAGAAGCAGAAGCAGAAGCAGAATACGGCGAGGAAGCTGTTGTAGTTGAAGAAGACAGCGATGATGATGATCAAAGTGCAGATCATGAAGCTGAAAGTGATGATGATGATATTTGGGGAGAGGAGTTGGAGGGAAGTAGCGGAAATGTTGGGGGTGAAATTGGGATAGGGAAATTGGCTAGACCAGGAGGGTGCAAGGAAGATGGAAATAGCAGCAAAGGCTTGTATAATTGGGAACGATTTTGGGTGGCTACTTAAAGCCTTGTGTGACTCTCTCTCTCTATTGGTTTCTTCCATTATAATTAAGTTTACTATATATCCTACTACTAGTATTTAATTTAACTTTCCTTAGTGGTTAATTACAAGTTTAGGCATATATTCAACCCTTGGATTTTGTAAAATATGCTAATGGTAGTTATTATCGTTATTGGAATTAAGTCTCTCTCCTCAGTTCTCCCTCATCATCACTCTCTTTCTTTACCACGCTGATGTTTCTTTCGTATGATATGTTTCCCAAACTACCCTTGAGAAGAAATTCAGCACTTGGGTAATGTATCAACTGCCATAGCTTCGACTGCATATAATTACCAGCTCCCATATATAGCTCCAAAGCATGATCAACCACGGTTCCAAGCATGAATATCAAGACGTATGTTAGGGGAGCAATATTTTTGGACAAATTCAAAGATCGGAGCGTCAAGGCACTAAATTAAAGCAATTTATCAAGTCATGTACGTGATTTCTATATTTTGCAATACAGAGGAGAATCAAGAGATAATTAACGGTGTAAAAAAAAAAAAACCAATAAGTTGATCAGTGGTAAGCGAATTAGTTCTTAGATAATTTTTTTTTTTGTATCTTGAAGTTCTATCATTGAAATGAGTTAAATTTTATTATTCATGTTTTGAATTTAATTAATTTTATCCCAATGTAAAATGAGGATACCTGAGAAAAACTATATAAAAAAAAAAAAGGTAAAAAAAGAAGAAGAAGAGGAGATGGTTATTCTGTATTACATAATAACTAAAGTTATATATATATATATATATATAGAGAGAGAGAGAGAGAGAGAGAGAGAGAGAGAGAGAGAGAGAGAGAGAGAGAGAGAGAACCTGATGCTTGTAGTGGCATTTTGGTAGTTTAAATGTCCAACGGTAAACAGATTGCAAGTTGAGGTGTACGGCTAGAGTACGAATGCCTGGTAACTATCAAGAAGACTAGGTCCCGATAAAAAGAGCAACATGTTTTTTTGATGAAGAGAGAGAGAGAGAGAGAGACGTGTACCTGACCTCACCACACGTACACATGATCATCCATGTGCTCCTTTTTTGCTTTTCTCATATCCTAACATGCATGGATGGGTGTATGTATCATCAATTTACACACTGGTCCCATAACTTTCCTCATATCTACAGTAGCTTCTCTTGAAATATCGGACTTGCAAATAAGGTTAGAATGGTCGATTTATAAATGTCTGGGGGTATAACTTAACAAGAGTTGGAAACTTTTAAGTGTAAATGGTTGGCTACATGGGCCAGGTGATTGAGAGGGTAACTTTCCTTAGAAGAGTAGGACAGTAATGCCGTCCAATGGTGGAGTTTGGGCATCCATTTCATGGGGCGTTGGAGTTAGTGCGGGGAATGGATAGCACATGCAGCAATCCGTCTCAAACATCATGTCCATTGAGAACCTTTTGATTTTTTTATATAACCACATATTCTCTCACATGTTGTGTCATAGTAACAGAAAGAAGAAAAACTCTCCGTAGCAATGAGCGTGTCGCCACATTTTCACCGTCACAGGTATTTATCCAAAAAAAAAAAAAAAAAAACTATATATATATATGAAATAAATTAGGTTTTGATTGCTCCCAACAGATAAATTTTATAATACTAAAATAAGTGATATAAATTATTTCATGAAATGAGATAGATACAAATAAAAAAAATATATAAAAGAGAGAAAATTAAAAAAATTAACATAAAACTCTTTTTATCATTTTTTATGGATTTGGATGTAATTTTTTTTTATGTGTCTAGGTTTGGATATAATTTTTTTCACGTGTCTATTTTTTTCAAAAATGAACCTATGAAAAAATTATTATGCATCTACAATAATTAATCCTTAAGAATTATAAAATTTATAGCTACCGTAAAATATTTTGAAAACAGTTATACTTTAGGCTTTATATTTTTATAAATGAATTTCGTAAAATATTTTGAAAACAGTTATACTCTAGGCCTTATGTTTTTATAAATGAATTCCATCTTAAAATTTATTTCAAGCAATTTTTCCTTCTATATTTTCTAACCCCCTTTGGAAAAAGGAACTCCCATTTTATAACTTTAACTTTAAACTCAATCTTCATTGTCAAGGCACCATCCCCCCAAGTCCTCATTCATTTTCATAGATAAAAAATCTGTAGACTTGGGAAATCTAACGCTGAGCCCTTATATCAACAATCAATATTAGCTCAGCGGAGATGTGAATTCGAAGCCTGGTTCAAGCTTGGATATAGAGCAGATAGGGGGCACGAGAGAGGTTAGGTTTCTGATCTTCGATTCCATGTCGACTCAACACACGAGCATCATGACTCAGCTCTGCGACTAAGTTGAAACTTACTAGCTTTGTTATGATCAAGAAAGGATTTATTATTCAAGCCCTAACATTTCTTACTGTTCCATGTATATATATTTGAATGCGGTAAATGAATATGTCTCTTATAGTTACCGTGCCTAACATGAATTTATTTTGGAATTGTATTGCAGGTTGCATTCATGGGTTCTGGAGATTCCTTTAGTGCCATGTGAAGAAAGAGAGAGAGATGTACAATCATATCATCAAGGAAGATTGAAAGAAGGTTCACCTTATATATAATTTGCTCCAAAAAAAAAAAAAATCGTATATATTAACTATAATATATTTTCATAAAAAAACACTATGATATATGTTAGAGATTTAATATAAAATTAAATTTTGATATTAAAGAGTTGAGTCTACATTCCATAAAAAAGATGGAATTATTTTATGGTGAGCGAATGATTTCAAGAGTTTTTATTATCATTAAGTCTGAATGACTTTGTTAGTATATTGAATTTGATAGCTAGATTTGATAAAAAAATTTCAAAATACTTAATGATTAGTGGTGATGTTAAATCTTTGAAGATTATACATTTAATATGTAAGGAATGTTAAATCTTTTGTGTATCCACGGCTATTTAAAGATAATTTATCTATTATCCACAGTAGGTCTGAAGTTTAAATTATTTTTATCAATTTAACTACTCGAATATAAATATATTCTATTTAAAAATACAATATTATTAAAAAAAATGACATTAACTTTGAAAAAAACGTTTTCGATTGAGCGTCTTCGTTTGAAGCACCATTTATTGGTTCGTATTTTCTCCAAATCAAAATGTAAATATTAGTCTTTTCACCGTCAATAATTTTCTTGTGTCGGCATCGTACAATGATTGATACTCTTAGAACTTGGTACGAGAAAACCAATTACAATTGTTTTTTTTTTTTGATTAAAAAAAAGATTTATTGATAAAAAAAGGAAAGGACAAAACCGGAGCTCAAAATCAGGTCAGGTTAGCCACGCTGTATGCAAACTTGAAGCATCGTTGCATTCAAGTATCCTTTCTTATATATATAACATTTAAATTTGAAATAATAATACAAAGGACAAGATAATATATATATATATATATATATATATATATATATAGTATGTATGTATGTATAATGAAGTATCATTGGACCAATTTTTATATCAATTAGAACTAAATTTATCATTTTTTAATTTAAACCAACGATAAATTAGGATTAACATTTGATTTACTATTGAATTTTTTTTTATACCAAATGAATTCAAATTTAGTATTTATTAAAAAATAATTCTCGCTATGTATCAGTGAGTAGTGAAAATTAAATTTTGATTTTAATAAAAAAAAAATTGTCGTTAGATCACATCTCCTAGCGGCAAAGAACAAGCTGATGTAATATTATAGAATTGATATGCATGGACTAATTCACACATCTTATACACCTTTTGAACTTTCAAGAACCGTATATAATGGTGGAGTTATTCTTCTATCAATTTCAATCGAAAATTTAAAACTTTTGTAGTTAAATGTATCTGAATTATATATACGTTACAATTAACTTATTAATTAACCATCACATATATTCATAGCGAAATGCCGGGAGTGTGTGTGCTGACTATTACTGAGAGGGTCCAAAAATTTAGGAAAGAAGATAGGTTGAAGAGATAAGATGACCATGACTAGCTAGTAGCTACATTATAATAATGAAATGCACGTATGATTTGAGATGAGCTTAAATAAAAATAAAATGGAAAGCTAGTTTTTGTTGTGTATATTAATGTCATCGCAAACAAACAAAAGAAATTGCTTCTTTTTTTCTTTTTTTTTTAATAGAATGCAAACCCTACCGCTCTGTCCACCCCATCTTGGACACACGACAAACCCTAAAAATTAAGCGACAACACAGAGTTTGACGTACTGTTTTCTATCATACTTGATGCAAGCTCTAGGCTATTTGCTCTTAAACGTGTGTGCTACCTCGTTGTGTGTTAAATCTAATCTACAAAGCTACGGTCTAGTTGTCCTTATCCATATAATATATGTGCACCTGAGAATTGCACCACATGAATAGACGACACACATGAAATAATATCGTTATGTATCTAGGAGGACCGCATCTAGCTATTTGTTCAGCTTATACAAGAACACATGGCTGGTGGTCGGCCTTGTCAGATGCCAACTCGGAAGGTTGTATCCCCCACCATTTTTCACTTTTTTTGTGGTATCCAGATCGCGTTGCCCACTTCTTATAAGTCCTACTTGTTCAAGTAGATTGCTGTCCACACATGCACATATGTATCTGACTTCCTTTTTCATTCTATTGATCGAGAAATATGCAATGCTTTACAGTTGTTGGACATCCATGTCATCAATCCAATCCTTTTTGTTTTTTTTAATCTTAATTTCATTAATCCAGTCAATCTATGATTTTCGTAGTGAGGATTTACAAATCATAATTTTGACTGAAAATTTGCTTGCCTGAAGCATAGAATATGCTCTCATTGCTTGGTTAATTTGATGGAATTTTAGTACTGAATATTTTGAGATCACCAATTAGAAAAGCTAATTCGAAAATGTGACGTATACATGTGGCTCAAAAAGAGAATGAATTGCAACACTGCTGCTCAAGGAAAGGAGAGAAATTAA